TAGGATTGCTCTCGCGCGAACTCGCTTAACTTCAGAGTTCTGATGGAACCTGAAGCCAGTAAGCTCCCAAAAGGCCTCGTCCTAGGTAGAGATGAGAATATACATATAAGGCTTACAAGATCTACTCCCTTGGGCGATGTGGGATGTTACATTTTAAGTACAAACATACACTTATTTACATGAAATATAATGGATTTAATTAAATCCTCCCAGTTTGCTTAGGTGCCCACCTAGACTTCACCCATGCGCCTATGCACTAGGCCTCAGCTCGCCACCCAACTAGCGCTTAGCATCTTTTAGAATCTTATTAAATAAGTGTTTAACGAGTTAATTGGATAAGACACCTAACAAGTTGTTTTCGTGTCGTTTTGGATAAGGCTAATAGGTAGTGAATGAAATTGTCAAATTTTGGCTGGTTAGCCTTTTATCTCATCTACTTAGACTTAATTATGTTATTTTTAGATGGTCCAAGAAATATTCATGCGAAGTAATATTTACTGTATTTTTCATCTTACATGCTTTTGTTCAATTTTTGTTTTTCAGATTAAATAAAATTAAAGAAGAATCAAAATAAGAGTGTACATAAATTATGTCATATGTTCATTTGCGAATGAAAGTGATTACAATAATGGGGAAGGTAGGGTAAACATGTATCATGACATAGCTTATGTCCCAGTTTAGGTCAATTATGTCGGAGGTAGATTGTCTGCCCTCCTGTTTGGGTGATTTTTTCATCCCCTCTTATTTGTGAGATCACGGTTAAACCACGTCAACATTTTATATTCCTATTATTTTTTGTCTTATTATCTCTATAAAAAAATCAATATAAAATGTTGACGTGACTTAATCGTGACCGCACAAAATAGGAGGGGATGAGAAGGGTATTCAAACAAGGGGCAAACAATCTGCCTCCATATTATATCTGCTATTTTATGACAAATTTGTACCGTTGGTGCTTGTGCTAGTGCCAGTACTACTTGTTCCGGCTATTTAAAAGATTACTGTTTATACTTGTGTGCAAATTATCTCCAGATTAATGAACTAGTTACTAAAATAGTGTATCTAATGTAACAACTCTTATAATTGTTTTTGTTTATTAATAAAAAGGAACTTTAATGAAAAGCTACCTGTGCTGTTCACTTTAACGAAAAATTATATTTTTACACTAAAAAATCAATCATAGTACTATTCATTTTACTATTTATTTTATCCTTATCGTTAAAACTCAAATTTTTCTAAATCTTTTGGTTAGTTTTCTTTAATAAAAATTCTATCGTCTCTCGTTAAAAAAACAAAACTAAGCTTAAAGTAAAGATGATTTGATGCATGGAGACCACACATTTTTCCTTCTGCAAGGACACACTCATTATTTATGCGAATCAAGGGGCCAACGTCGACAGTACTATTAGTTTTCACATCTATTTTTATTTCTTGTCTAACAGATATGTGTGTTTGTGTGTATTGTCCGACAAGGATTTGGAACCTTTCATGAGTAAATGAAGAGGATTTCTTTGATTAAACATTATGGATCGTTAAATTTTCATCTAACAACTATAATTATTATAATTTTAAAAGAATCCTCATGTTTGTAACCATTGAATTTTTATCCAACGACCTACAATGCTTGGTCAATCCTCTCCATTGGTGCAGGAGAGTATCCAAATCCGTCGAATAAAGCATTCATCTAGCTAGCCTAGCGATCTAACTACTTTCGTAATAGGCTAATACCTTGTCAACAATGTGGACGTTACAAATCATATCTTGGTTTGAAAGAAACGCCCATGGATAGGAGGGATTTTTCGGTGTACCCGGCACATCAAAAAAATTTGGTGTACCCTCACTCATAATGGTGAGGGTGCACCAAAAAAATTTGGTGCACCCTCACTTTTTGTACACCAAAAAAATTCTAATGAGTGAGGGTACACCAAAAAAATTTGGTGTACCCGGTACACCTAAAAATTTTCGCATGGATAGAGACTTCACTGCCATATAAAAACGCATTCATGATTAATGTTGGGACTCAATAATGCAATATCAGCCATGAACTGAACGTATGGTCGTGCATGGCGCTTAGTATGGAAATGTAATTAATAGACATAATTAACTTTAATGCTCACGATTGAATTTGGCTTCAAATTCGTATTTGAAGTGAATCGAACTTAAAATATTTCACTTACAAATGAAGAAGAATATCACTATATCGTAATACTAAATAGTTACTTCCTCTGCCTTTAACCCTAATAATGGGAAAGAGATATGTGCTATTGAAATTTGATCCAATAGTTATAAACATGGATCCATTTTAAAAGTTATAATAACTTTAACCGTTGAATCAAATTTCAATAGTACGAATCCACTAATTTAATGAATTATGAGAAAGAGATCCGTCGCTAATTGGTGGATTATGAGAAAGGAATATGTCTCTAATAATGTACCTAAAAAACCAACATGCATTTACCCCAAAATTAAAGAATTTAAAAAATACGACAATAATATTCATGCATGTAATGTGTGATCGAACGACAGTAATATACCTAAAACCAACATGCATTTACATTTACCTCCTTGGTCATTAGATAAGATATTTTATACGGTCAGCACAGCAATTGGCTGAAGTCAGGCCACGTGTTATAGTAGCATGACCATGCGATGGAGTGCAACCAAATTCATCAACGACCACGTACCAGGTCTTATATATTGTTACCAAATTTTATATTGCGGAGAGTCTATCAACTTTTTAGCTTTCTTTCTCATCTTGAACTATTATAAAATTATCAAAATTGTGTAGTATTTTAGATTTTTAGTTCATATTATCAAAATTAACAATCATAAACTAAATTTAAAAATCTAATTAATTCAAATGATATGTTGTCTACATCAAATATTATATAAAGTGATATGAAAATATAATACAAAAACATGATACGAATAACATTATTCTTTTCAATAAGCATCTCACTCATCAATAGAAGAAAGAAAGGAAAAAAAAAGACAAAAAAAAGAAGAGAGCTGCCATCACTCACTTCTTGCTTCCCTACCTGAACGTGAGGTCACAGAGATGATTTTTCTTAAAACAGTGGTGGGCACACCTAATTGGCAACGTGTGTGGCTAGGATTCGACGAGTCCCTATCGCCCATTCGAATTACGAGGAACCCGAGGACGATAGCAACGGCCACATTTCCCCAACGGCGGGATCCAACGGTGGGACACGAACTGGCGGTTGCCGCCTACAGTTAAATATTTTAATACGTAAAAAATGTAAAATTATTAAATAAAAAAATCAATAATGTAGCCGTTGGGTTGCATTCCCCTATAAAAAGGTGAAGGGGGTAGAAAGCTGATTCAAGATTCCTCAAGGTAATGCAAAGTGTACCGAAAAACCAATCAACTCAATCCTTTGAGATATCTAATTATAATTTATATGTTAAGATAATTCCTAGCTCTAACCGAATTCGAAGTTTTCTTCATCTTTATTAGACGTCTTAATTTCTTATATTTGATCTACTTATCTCAACTTGACATGATTTCACTTTGATATTTTTATCATCTAAACTTTTTCTTGATTCAAATTTCGTGTAAATTTTTGTCACCAAATCTCTACAGAAAATCTTGCATATTAATCAAAGATTTTCTAAGCGTAATTTTTTTATTTTGTTATATTTACGCATCAAAATTCAGAAAAACTGCAATTTTCGGCTATGAAAACTGTTGTTGTAGAGCAACCAATCTCTGCCTGCAAGCAGATGAAAATGGTGAGAAGAAGCTCTGAAAATCTTGCTCCCATAAATAACAACTTCCATGGAGGTCTCCTCCAAGCTCCTCCACCTTCTCTCTCTCTCTTCAACCACTACCGCTACCAACATCTTCAACAAGCGCAGAGGCAGCAGCATCAAAATCCACCTCTCCTTCCTCTACCGGTTCCCAACAGACCTCCTCATCACCACCGGTCTCTGCCGTCCCTTCCGTCGCGCACTCGCGGCGCCTCCCGCCCTCCCGCCGCCAGGAAGACCAACAACATGATCACCAGAAGCCAATCTCTCACCCCGAAAAAGCCGAAATCTAAGCCCTCCAAGAAAGAAGAAGCTAATAAGCAGGACTTCAAAGCCATATCTGAGTGTTTGATCATCGCTTCCACCAACCGTTTAGGTCCCGATCCGAATGATCTTCCCAAAGATGTTACTAGGGTTTTATCATCGTCCATTGGTAAGAGTCTCGGTGGCGGTGGCGGTGTGGGTGATATGGAGAAGTTTTCAGGTTCCATTTTCACTCTCTCACCACCTCCGAGTAGCCTGCCCCTGCCAAGGTTTTCTCTGCAGCCAAGGCTTGGTTGCAACGCCGAGGCTGCAGCAGGGATCGACGCCGGAGCAACCGACAACCTCTGCCGTCTGTTACGTCTCCGATGAATGGTTGGGGTGGTTGTCTTAGTGGTTGGGGTGGTTGTCTTAGTAGTTGGTGATCGTGGTTTGGTTTGTAGGTGTCAGTTGTGTAAATAAAGGCAAGTGAGTGGGTTAGTTCGTGATGAAAAATTAATCATGTAATCCCTCTCCTCCCTTCTCCTTGAGGAAATTTGTGATCGCCACCTGTGTTTTTGATTGGGGTGCACAAAAAAAATACCAAAGGATGTTTTTCTTTTCTTTTCAAATTTGTTTTTCCTTTTGTTGTTGGTCTCCAAATAATAATATTATGAATGTTTTACGACTTAAAATAGAATTCCCCAGGATGTTTAAAGTGTTTTAATTGGGGAATTGGTCAAAGTGTGTTTTTTAGATCCTAATTATTGAAATTTCCCGTCTTTAAATGTTATATCACCGATATTTGAGCAATATACCATCGATATTTAAAGTTTTGATCAGTTGAGATTTGATTCCGATTGTTATAGTCATGTTCCCAAGGAGAAATACAAAACTCTAGCAGCACGTATTTTATTTCGGCACAATCGTATTCCCCTTTAAAATCTTGTAGCTGACAAATCTGTGTTGGTGAAAAAACACGTTCGGTATGACTTCAAACTTCGATCTCATAGCTGATAAATCTTAGATATATACTCAATACAAGGCATAAATGTTTAGATTTGTTAGGAACATGTCAACTATCAAGGCATACATTGTGATCCGATAATCTCTTACAATCTCCGGTATATATATCAATTCTCAGTAAACTGGTGCTGGCAATTGGTGCACACATAGAAAGTAGTTGCCCCTTCATCTGCCGATCTCATCTAGACCCGTATCAAAGAAAGAACGCAAGGCAGCATAAAAGATAATTAGACGACTCGAAAAAGAACGAAGAAAAGATACTTAGATGATCGAGCGATTCTAGCATACCTGTCGGGAGTAATATGTATGCTCATTGTGGCCGCATTTTTCACATGTTTTAGCATCTGTCTGTTTACCAGAGAAAAATATCATCAGAAAAATTGAAATCACATTCCCAAACAAATACCACTGCTTTAAATGAAAACTGAAAAGCACAGCTACCTTTTGCAATTGCACCCTCTCTTCTGGAATTATTGATATGCCTAGATCTCTTCTAATATCCTGCAACAGGAGCACACAGAGTAATAACTTGTTGCTGTGATGCGGAAAGAGATGTAAAATTTGACGCTGTTTGTGTCAACTGACTGATTTCAATTTAACACAACAATCAGATCCAACATTTTGAGTGTATTATCTTTAACTAAACTCACTGCTTAGGTATATTTTCGAATATCGTGAAAGGGGCATGAGAAAATATGAAGGGAAAAAAATTGTCCAACAACATCATAGTAAATGTGCAAACCACGACAACTCAATTTAGTGCGCACACATAAGTACGCACAGACGATGGCTAGAATGATTATCCACACATAGATTTAGACTTGTATCAATAGTCTACAATCTATATATATCAGCAAGTTAGTTTCGGCATACCTCAGCAGTGACTTTGTAAGATATTTCTCTTCCGGATATCTCTGAAGACAATTAAAATCATATTAGGTACAAAACTAAGGAAGGAAAAATATTTAAGTTAAACCTACAGGGATTTATAAACCTACAAAAATATTACGTATTTATGCCACAGAAAAATATAAAGCCCGGGACATGCCATGATTTAAGTTGATAAATTCTATAGCAGTTAGAATATAAAACACTTCCAAAGGTAAACTCTTTTCGAAATTGAGTATATACAACTAAAATACAGTATGAATTCATCCACAAAACAATTTTGAAACTAGAAAACAGATTAAAGATGCAAAAGTTAACACAAATGGCCGAAAGCTTAAGTTTGCTCTACCTTTCACATTTCGCTGTAACTTGCAGAGAGGGCATTGAGCATACTTGTTTGAATTCAAATTTAGCAAACTCCCACACAAGTCGCAGAACAAGAAATTGCGGCCTTGAGAGTATGCCATGAAATGCTTCTCCGATGCACCGTTAGATATCGTTGTTGCACCTGCAGTTGGAGCTTTACGCATTACCAAAGTCAAACCCAAAACATGTCTTGAGCTCAGTTGAGCATTTCATCAAACAGCTACCATGCAAGCTAATAATTTTGTCGAAAATATCAAACCGGTATCTTAATTCATACTAATACAAACCCAACAGCGAATTCAAGAAACAAACTAGAAGCAGCTACTGAAAAGACCGAAGCATTATATAAACAAAATTACTCAGAGGAATAAGTTAAAGAAGAAATTGAAGTTCAAATTAAGAATTTACATACGAGCAATCGTCATGAGGAGAGTTGGCGACGGAAATTCCGCAGTGATAAAACCCTAATTCCCAAATCCCAGTGTCTGCTAAATCTTAAACCCTAATTCCCAAAGCTCTATTAATTTTATGGAAATTTGGACTGAGCTGGCTTAGTTTCTATGCTGTATGGGTCTCTAGTAACTCAGTTCTGGGCTTGGAAGTAGTGAATAAAGGCCCAACACTATATTTCCGGCCCTTTTAGCTTTTTAATTTTTGCTTTGACTTTTAGGAATTTCGTCGAATATTTTTACATGTATTATTATTAGTAGAGGGAGAGAATTCGAATATATTACAAAGATTTATGGAATAGAAGAGTTCGGATTGCAGCTCTCTAATAAAGAAAAAATGTGGGAGGTTTCTGGTTCGATACTCTGAGTTGGTGAGTCTTCTTGACTGTGGGCACTGGTAAGGTGAAATTCCCTATAGCCACTCTAGATAATCGTAACTTGTTATCAGTTATTCTCATTTTTTAAAGAAAGAAAAAACAAATAAAAAGAATTTGAATCCGGAAGGCATGGATTGAAATTTATTGTGCTGAAATTCATTTATAAGAATTTAGAATTGTTATTCTACGTAACACAACTACACATTATATTGTAGGTAGAAATTTTATTTTCGTTCCATATATTTTAATTTCAAAATTTGATACGTAAGTTCTAGCTAACTTTCAGTTCCAAGCTCCGTCACATTGTACAAATAAAAATAGAGAAGGCTTGAAAATATATAGGTGGAGTTGTGAATGTCATCGTTATGGTAAATGAGTACCACATGGTATTAATGTAGTCAGATGATGTGACTAAACTGTATACATATATACGTATTTGGAAATTTTGATCACATGCATGATGGTCCATAGGTTTGAAAAATGCAGAGATTTTTCCAGGGACGTAGCTAGAAATTTCTTCTAGTGGGAGCAATCTGAAAATCAACTAAGAAAATCTTATTATAGTATGGCTTATACCTAATATGATAATAGGGATGATTTCAAATGATGATGCGTCACAATTCCAATGTTACAAAAAATTTCAGTGTAGTAGTGGAAAGTGGCAAAGTGATAAGAAAAATATTAATACATGATTACACGGGAGAGGTTTTTCAGTTTGAATGACAAAACAAGAGCACTTTTGCTCATACAATAGTTAATATGGAGTATATGCAGTATGAAAGTATGTTGGATATTAGATATATATATTTTCTTCAAAGATAACGTATGTGTATTATATAATTGTAGTCTACAATTTAACAAACGAATAACTTGAGTGGGGGCATATGCCCCCAGTGAGCATTCATTGGCTCCGTCCATAGATTTTTCAGTGTACGCGAAACACAAACATATACACTACATGTCAATAATAAAAGGACCCTTAAAAGATAATAACATTGGTTCTGGTCATAGTAAAATATCTCTTTGAAAAATGATCCACGCTTGGGCCGCAAGTAACTAATTTTCTACTTGTTGAGTTAAAAGCTACAGAAACGGCAATTATGTTTTGGGTAAAGTACAGTCAGAGGGCGGAGTTGTTGGTTGAAATGCAACTACTCAGACAGCGTCTGCATTAATTGGCGGGAAATAAACACTTCTCTCCCTCCCTTCTGTAAGAAAACGAGTTTACTTTGTCTGTGGGCATTATGGAGGAAGTAGAGCTTGCCTCCGACAAGTTTTCGGACGGAAACCCGCTTCCGGAAATGGACAAACCAACGAACTCGACCAAGCACCGCAGCGTGTCGTTCCTCGGACTATTCGCTGCTGCTGACAAGGTGGACTGTGTGTTGATGTTTTTGGGAAGTGTTGGGGCTTGTATCCATGGTGGTGTGCTTCCTGTGTTCTTTGTTTTATTCGGTCGCATGATCGATTCGTTAGGACATCTGGCGATGAATCCACAACAACAGTCTGCCCGGATTTCCGAGGTAAGATCAAACGTTTCGGAATACCTTTTCGCGATCCTTTCGTGGGATGATGTTCTGTTTCGATATATGTATGTGAGTTTTCCCTTTTTCTTTTATTTGCAGTATGCTTTGTACTTGGTATATCTTGGACTCGTTCTTTTCGCATCAGCATGGATTGGTACGTTTTGTAAATTACACTCGTCAAATTAGTTATACGAGCATTAGTATCAGCAGACCTGAACGTAGCCAAGTTGGTTAAGTATAAGTATCCTTGCTGACGCTTTAATTTTCAGGTGTAGCATTCTGGACGCGAACCGGGGAGAGGCAGACAGCTCGTTTGCGGATGAAGTATCTCCAATCAGTTCTAAACAAGGACATTAATTTTTTCGACACTGAAGCCAGAGACACCAACATTATTTTCCACATTTCAAGTGATGCAATTCTAGTGCAAGATGCAATAGGTGACAAGGTAATTCGCAACCAAAACTGCTGTGAAATCTCTCGAAGAAGGTCCTTAGAGTAACATAATTAACATTGTTCCTTGTATCTTCTGAATGCAGACTGGCCATGCTTTGCGCTACCTTTCACAGTTCCTTACTGGATTTGCGATCGGTTTTACATCAGTATGGCAGCTTACGCTTCTGACCTTGGCTGTGGTTCCTTTCATAGCTATTGCAGGTGGAGCTTATACTATAACCATGTCTACCTTATCCGAAAAGGGTGAGGCTGCTTATGCAGAAGCCGGCAAGGTTGCTGAAGAGGTAAACTACTGTCCTAGGCATTTCTCGATATCTTACGCATCTTGCCGCATATGTAGCCCATTTTCATCACACATGTTGCATACACCAGGTTATTTCGCAGATTCGTACAGTGTACTCATTCGGGGGAGAGGACAGATCCATTGAAGCATACTCAACCTCACTGAACAAGGCCCTCAAGCTGGGAAAGAAGACCGGTGTTGCAAAAGGAGTTGGTGTAGGGTTTACATACGGGCTGTTGTTCTGCGCTTGGGCATTGCTTCTCTGGTATGCCAGCATACTTGTAAGGCATCATGACACGAACGGAGGGAAAGCATTCACAACAATCATCAATGTCATCTTCAGCGGATTGTAAGTCCACTCCAAATTATGTGTGCATTTACTATTTCCAGTTTCGTGATTAAAAGCAGACCTTTTTCTTATTTAGTGCTCTTGGCCAAGCTGCTCCAAACCTTGCTGCAATTGCAAAAGGGAGAGCTGCTGCTGGTAATATCACGACGATGATTGATTCGGATTCCAAATCCTGTAAGGTCTCGGACAACGGAATAGTGTTGCCGAAAGTGTCTGGGCAGATTGACTTCTGTGAGGTTGGTTTCAACTATCCATCACGATCAAATATGGTGTTCGATAACTTGAGCTTTTCGATTGGAGCTGGCCAGACTTTTGCAGTTGTTGGCCCTAGTGGTTCAGGAAAGAGCACCGTTATATCCATGATTCAGCGATTCTACCATCCCGTTTCAGGTATTCTGGTCCTGTCTAATAACCATTTCGTTTCTTGTTTTGAGGTTTAAATCATGAACAAATTTTTGCAAGGTAAAATACTGTTGGATGGACATGAACTTGGAACTCTCCAACTGAAATGGTTGCGAGAACAGATGGGATTGGTAAGTCAAGAACCGGCATTGTTCGCAACTACCATAGCCGGCAACATTTTGTTAGGTAAAGAAGACGCAGACATGGATCAGATCATGGAAGCTGCTAAAGCTGCAAATGCACATTCTTTCATTGAAGGATTGCCTGATGGCTACAACACTCAGGCAGGAGAGGGAGGAACTCAGCTTTCCGGAGGGCAAAAGCAGCGAATAGCCATTGCAAGAGCAGTGCTGCGAAACCCGAAAATACTACTCTTAGATGAGGCCACAAGCGCTCTTGACGCAGAATCAGAACTAGTTGTTCAGCAGGCACTAGAGAAAATCATGTCGCATCGAACTACAGTCATCGTTGCTCATCGATTGTCCACTATCCAAGATGTGGACACAATCGTTGTCTTGAAGAACGGTCAGCTTGCTGAGAGTGGCAACCATTCAGACCTGATGTCCAAGAAAGGGGAGTATGCAAATCTGGTGAGCATGCAGGTACTTGAACATGGTAAAGATTCTGGCTTAGTATCTGGACATTCTTCGAGAGAATCCAGCTTTCGTGGAACCACAAATAACTATCCGCAGGAGGACAAGGCAATCAGAACAAAACAGCAGAAGCCAAGCGATCAGACCAGCTCTGCTCCTGCACCAGTATGGGAATTAGTGAAACTAAATGCGCCCGAGTGGCCTTACGCAATACTTGGGTCAGTCGGTGCAGTTCTCGCTGGCATGGAAGCTCCTCTTTTCTCCCTCGGGATAACTCATATATTGACAGTGTTTTACCTTCCTGGCGGCTCTCAAATCAAACATGTTGTTGATAGGATAGCTCTCATATTTGTTGGCTTGGCTGCCGTCACTGTCCCAATATATCTCCTGCAGCACTACTTTTATACATTGATGGGGGAGCGGCTTACAACTCGCGTTCGTTTATTAATGTTCAAAGGTTCTTCTCGACCTCAAAGATTGAACCATATTTTTATTTCTCATGTAATGCACATTACGAAATCCATCAAAACTGAGAACGGGTTCTTGTTTTTTACTGCAGCCATCCTTTCGAACGAAGTTGGTTGGTTCGATTTGGAAGAGAATGACACCGGATCACTGACATCAACTTTAGCAGCAAATGCAACGTTGGTGCGAAGCGCTCTAGCTGACCGTCTGTCAACAATCGTGCAGAATCTCTCCCTCACGGTGACTGCTTTTGTTATTGCCTTCACGTTTAGTTGGCGTATGGCAGCTGTCGTGAGTGCCTCCCTCCCCCTACTTATCGGAGCTTCCATAACTGAGGTCAGAATAAAAAATACCACCGTTCTGTTAAAAGCCGCACATTGTTTATTTTTAATTGTTGTTATCTTCAATCCAACATATGTTCGGTTTTCTTGATTTGTATCCACAGCAACTGTTTCTGAAGGGATTCGGAGGGGACTACAACCGTGCCTACTCAAGAGCAACTTCCATTGCACGTGAAGCGATTGCCAACATAGGTACTGTAGCTGCTTTTGGTTGCGAAGAACGGATATCACTCCAGTTTTCCTTGGAACTAAACAAGCCAAACAAGCAAGCAGTTCTAAGAGGCCACATATCAGGCTTCTGCTACGGTTTATCGCAGTTTTTCGCATTCTGTTCTTATGCCCTTGGCCTTTGGTATGCATCAATACTAATCAAGGATAAAGACTTGAATTTTGGAGATATCATGAAGTCCTTTATGGTCTTAATAGTCACTTCACTGTGTATAGCAGAAACCCTAGCTCTCACACCAGAAATTATGAAGGGATCGCAAGCGCTCAGCCCAATTTTCAGTATCCTAAAGCGAGAAACAGCCATACATCGTGATGATCTCAGATCAAATGTTGTTGCCAATGTCAAAGGAGATATAGAGTTCAAGAATGTGAGTTTCTGGTACCCTGCAAGGCCGGATATCACCATTTTCGACTATTTGAATTTACGGGTTTCAGCAGGAAAGAGCCTTGCTGTAGTCGGGCCAAGTGGTTCGGGGAAGAGTACAGTGATTGCACTGGTAATGAGATTTTATGACCCCATTTCTGGTACGGTTCTAATTGATGGATACGATATCAAAAGCTTGAACTTGAAATCATTGAGGAAGAGAATCAGTCTAGTTCAGCAGGAGCCGGCATTGTTCTCCACAACAATTTATGAGAACATAAAGTATGGGTACGAGGAAGCATCGGAAGTAGAGGTAGTGACAGCAGCGAAAGCGGCGAATGCACACGGTTTCATAAGTCAAATGCCTGAAGGGTACAAAACTCAGGTGGGGGAGAAAGGAGTGCAGTTATCCGGAGGGCAGAAACAGAGGGTGGCAATTGCCAGAGCAATACTGAAAGATCCATCAATTCTTCTTCTGGACGAAGCAACAAGTGCATTGGACACAGAGTCTGAGAAGCTGGTCCAGGAGGCTCTTGACAAGCTAATGGAGGGTAGAACAACGATTATGGTAGCACACCGGTTGTCAACTATTCGTGATGCAAATCGGATCGCCCTGCTACAAAATGGTAGGGTGGTCGAAATGGGAAGCCACGAGCAGCTGATTGGAAGACCCGGTAGTCTCTACAAACAATTAGTTAGTCTACAGCAACAAAAGACAGACGCGATCGATTGATTCAAAGGCGTTATATGTAAAACTTCTTATGACATAAAGGGTAACGCGTAAGAATATTTTACGGTATACTTTTCAAGGGATGTATTAATAAAGACCGCTACTGTATACTTTTCACTTTTGCGACCAAACTGTGTTATACAGACATTATCCGGAAAGAGTTGATGCAATATATGAACATTATCCGGAAAGAGTTGATGCAATATATGTGAAAGACGGAGAAGTATGTGTTAGCAAAGCTAACTGTCACTTAAATACATGAACACAAGTCTTAAACAAACCATCTAAAGCTATCACATGAATCCCTAAAATGTCAGTACATACTATACATACACCACGGTTTGCTGCTTCAGCAAAGGACTTCGAGTACAAAGGAGGTAGCGGCAAAGAAAGGTCGGCAGTCAGCAAATCATCTCATAAATCTACTCGTTACTTCACAATATGTAGCAAGCCCTTTGTCCCTTTCTCTTCTTCTTCTTTTGCTTTGGTGGCTGGAGCACCACCTTAATGGCCGCATCAAAAACAGCTTTCACATTCTGCCATTAAAATTTTCAATGAATCATGTCAACAATGAGGGGTGAAGACATATGACAAATTTGGATAGAGGGCAAGACAGAAATATGCATACCTGTTGTGTTTTCGAGCTACACTCAATGTATGCAGGCGCTCCAATCAGTTTCTTCAATTCCTCTCCCTTTAGGCCAAAACGACAATCAAAGGTCAGTAGACCAACTTAGAAAGATAATATTTAGGTTGTGGGTGAAGCAATAGTCTTACCTGATCAGTAGTAATGGGAACTGCACCAGAATGGTCTATACAAAATTGTTTATCATCCCGAAGATCTGCAATGAAAATCATAAAATTGAGCACCTCGTTCACCAAAAGAGTAAGAAAATTCAGTAGTAACTAATAAGTGATGACAATAATGCTCCAGATAATGAAAGAAATGTTGGCTCAACAACAGGAATAAAAGTGATAAATTGCTAAATGACCAAGTAACCAAAAGATCAATCTTAAAACAGAGTGGTATTGAAGACAATATCGAAACTAAGTGCTAGTATTCAATGCAGACTCAAAGAAATTTAGAAATAACTGAACCATGACACTGGTCGCTACATGGAAGAAATGGGAAGTTATACGTCCATAGTCCCAAAAATTACAGGGACCCTAAAGCATTAGATCAGACACCAGCACAAACATAGGACAATTAGCATGCACCAGAACAATATACAAATACATTACAAAGGGGTTGAGAAAAAGATCTTACCAAGCTTTGTTCCAACCAGAATTATTGGAACGCCAGGTGCATAATGGCGCAGTTCGGGAATCCACTGAAACAGAAAACAAAATATGAAACAACTCCTCCACACACCAATGAAGACATTGTATACTGAAATTATTGCAAACAGAGATACTACGTAAAACAGAAAGTAAACAGGATTGTAAAGAAGATGTGGAACCTTTTTTGCAACGTTTTCGTAGCTGGCTTTGCTTATGAGAGAGAAAGCAAGGATAAAGACGTCCGCCCCTCGATAGCTCAAGGGCCTTAATCTATTGTAATCCTCCTGCCCTGTTAGAATATGGTTATTAAAACTCCCAAAATACAGGGAAAAACAAAGGCAAAATGAAACGAATTCGCATATGTAACAGGGGACTGAGTGAGTAGTAAAATCACCAGCCGTATCCCACAGAGCTAGGTTGACAGTGCTCCCATCCACAACAACATTTGCACTGAAATTGTCGAAAACAGTCGGTACGTAGTCCTGTTTTTCGATTACAACCACAAACTTAGTAAATTATATGAAAATCCAAGTTCAACTACACGAATTAGCACGATAGTAACTTCGAAAGAAACGAATCCTACGGCTAATGAAACACCAGACAGAAATGTGGAGCAGCAGAGAGTTAACAATAATTAAGAATACTCGATAAAACTAATGTCGTTCTTCAGTTAACTAAATCAAGGTTCAAGTTTGAGCCTTAGTGAAATATAATCAATGTTTGAAGTTTGTCTACGATTATGACTGCAGCTGGACAAATAAGACAAAATCCCCGAAATTTCCGGAGGAAGAAGCAAGAACTGAAGCATACAGCTGTACTGAACTGGGAAGAAGGAAGGCGGTAAAATTACGAAAATGGGACTGACCGTGGGAAAGGTGTTGCTGGTGTAGGAAATCAGCATGCAGGTTTTGCCGACGGCGCCGTCGCCGACCGTCACGCACTTTATGAACCTGGAGGCGCTCATTTCACTTTTCAATTCTCAATTTTTTCACCCTAGAGACTGAAGCAGCAGATTTCCACCCGAAAATATCTCCTTTTCCGATGCTTCTACTTCCTTCTGAGATCAGCAGGACGCCATCTTTGCTAGCAGAACCCCCAATTAGGTGAGAGAGAGAGAGAGAGAGAGAGAGAGAGAGTAGCAGTGCAGGGGAAGAAATTGAAATTTGAAAGAGGGAGGACGACTGGACGAGGAGAGTCAAAAAGTAAAAATTCTGGTCGGAGCGCTGACTGACCTAGCCATTAGCCAAGCTAAGCTTTTGCCAGCTGGCACACCTCCCTTATCTGCTTATCTTTTTCCTCTTTGCTTATTCCTTTTTGGTTCAAATTTTTTTTTTTTTTGAAAAAATTTCTTTTTGGGTTAAATCAAAATTTCAAATTTCAATTGCTTATCTTTCAGTAAAAACTTACTTTAGAAGACGTAGCTTGGGCGATTATCCATTATTTTGACGAAAAAGATGTTCATTTAATCATAACTAGCGAGTTTGAGTAGTTTCAGGATATTTAAGATAATGCTATTCACATTTATTTTTACTTTTTACACATCCTTGTTTAAAGCAGAATATTATTCGTATAAAAGAAAAGGACTAATTGACTTCGAATTTACCAATATCATTCCCAATAAAATTAACACTTAATTTTACCAAAAAAAAGAAAACTAAATAATAAATAACAAGCTTCCCAGGACAAACAATGGCAAACCTTCAGTCCAATGATACTACTCGGTTGCCCCAGAAAAAGAGAGAACCAACGGCAAACCCAAACTTGATGTAGAATTTTAGCACGCTAGAAGTTGTTTCTCCTATAAACAAAGCAACTGCCTTGAGGGAGAGAGGAAACGAATTCGAAACTGTACAAAGTTCCTAATGTAGGATCCAGGGGCATTTTCCATAGATTACGCTCGCTCGCCGCCTCTCCACATTGTTCTTCCTCTCAACCCCAAACTCTCTTGGCCTAAAATTTTAGAATCCATGCAGACGAGTCAGACCTTGATAGACGCATATTTCTCGCCCATCACCCCACCTTTCTGTTTTTGGAAGTGTATGTACCGCAATGTGCTGGCGAAGAATGCATCTGGGGCTGGATTCGGGTTTGCAGAGTCACTTTGCATCTCATTTTTAATTAAATCCACCAATCCCTGGATTGCAGCACTTGTAATCTGGGGGTTTCCTTTCTCAAAATAGTAGAGGTACCTGTTGCATAACTCACAAATCAGCCCTAAATTATACAACACAAGCAATTTAGAGGTGACCATCTTCAAATTTGCAGTCAAAGACTACCGACTTGTTCAGTATCTCAACAAAGAGTGTGACTGGCCCGCTGCTACCCCGCGTTGCGCTGGCCATCTGTTGAGCAGCATTTGCAATTCTCAATGCGCGTTTTAAACAAAGCAAGACCCTGTAACAAAAACCACTACTTGTCATGTAACTGAAGGTTTCTTTAATCACCATAAAGTTGCTTCCATGATAAAGATAAACCAACATGCAGGGGTATTTGTGCAGCTGCAAATGAAATGCATCGACATGCATAAATCCATGGGAATATTTAAGTCCAACACTGAGTTTGGATACGCTTACCTTTCTCCATCTTTAACACCATCCTGATCATCTACCCAAAAAAGATGTGAACATGCATACACCGCTCGGCACTGATCAGGTTTCTTCAAAAGCTTTGCTGAATACTGAGAAAGGAAAAACATACATTATGGGGTTTTACATAAACAGATTGAAAACACTAAGGATCTGACGATAGGAGAGAATTATTACTCCTGTAGCCTTGTGTGTTAAAGTATCCCGATTCTCAACGCCAAATACATTCATCCTCTGAAGAGTCCCAATAATGAGATGTATTGCAGTCACCTGGGCTTTGGAATCCTAAAATTGAGGTGTACATTATGTTGTTAAATTAAACGGCTAAATGTCACACTGCAGTCTTTTACAGAAATGCTAGAACAATTGAAGAAACTTCCTTCAAATCTATTTAATAAACCACAAGATACTCTCAACCGGAAAGAAAAAAACAAATGACAAGATACTGATAGATAAATTACCGCAACTTCTTCTTCATATAATATAAATGCCTGAGTGAAGAATTCATAAGCAACAGGTTCCAGATCACAGTCATTAGCAGCCTGATTATGCATAAATCAAAACAAAGAGGTTGGAACCAAAAGTAAGTCTGCAGCTACAACGTCAGAGATTTAAAACCCTATTCTTTCTCTGTGGTACAAAAACATGCAAGATATGTTGGATTAAAACAAGCCTGCAAACCATGCTTTGACCAACCGTCGAGTGGCGTACCTCAGCACATTCCAAGTACAATCTTAAGGCCAGTTCGGGAGACGGAACTGAGGAAAGAGATTCAATGATCTGAAATAAGATAGACAGCACCATTATTGATTATATGCAGCAAGATGAAGACGTGTACATAACGACCACATAACAAAAGGTCTTCCCCAAGGATTATTGCCTAACAAACTACGAAGCAACCAAGTGCATTCATCTAAATACCTGATTTAAAGTCTGAAAAATTTTCTTCGGTGTGGCAGGCATTTCTTCTCCCACAACCTCTCCATCCTGACCTTGCAGCCGCCTAACCAACTACAAGCCACAGCCAACGTTTTGAACAATTCTTCAAAATGAGGACATTTTAATACATTCCACTACTTCGTAGTGAAAGGTGCATAAATATACAAAATGAAACAACAAATATGTGATATATGACAAGGTGGCATAGCATAGGATACCTTGAGTGCAGATAATATAAGAGGAGGAACAGTAAAAGGTAGGCGCTTTGGTCCTCCACTCATTATATGCTTCTTGACCGTACATAAGATCTGAAGATCAGTAATCATAAAACTAAGTAAGATTTCTCTGAAAGTTGAATCACAATTCACAGCCAATGATTTTTGTAGATGGAAGCAAAAACTTCAAGTAACATTAGCATCACAAGAAACTACCAAACATACAACAGATCAACAACTTACCTTAAACATTTCTTCTGGATCATCATTATAAAGCATGTGTATAAGGCGAGCAACAGAATTTTGTTCATCCGCAAAATCCTCTTCATCAAGCTAAAAGTAGACAATAGCACCAAAAGAATAAACCAAGGGCGGCCAAAAAATAAACAAAAATAAAATCAGCAAGTGTTTCAAAAGAAACTAAGTTTACATTAAAATACAAAAAAACTCATGTGGATCTATTAAGTTAAATTTTGAATTGCACCTCATCTGCAGAAGTAGAATCCAAGTCCTTGATGAGCCCTTTAATTAATTCAAACAACACCTCCACCTACAAGAAGCAATATATCACATTCTTAAGAAGAAAATACTGATAAAATAGAAGAAACAGAAGATGCATTCATACCTTATCAGCTGTGGAGATACAAGAGTTGTTCTTCATAATGCTTTGGATAATGACCATTGCCATGACTTTATTTGTTCCATTATCAAGATATTCCATAACTCGAGGATAATTAGAAAGTGTGAGGGCTGTGACAATGTCATCGTATTTCTCCAAGGGAGAACTTAACAGTGCAACAACCTGTTTTGTTGCTCTACGGTCTTCAAGCTTGGTTTCTCCGGATAGCTTCTTAACACATGCTCCCTGAAAAAATGAATTAAGATTTTAATTATCACCAGTTACCTTTGTTGTTACAAAACATGGCCCACATAATCCATATCGAAACGAAATTCAAAAGAAGATTGCATCCATGTTGCATGGCTATGTTGACGGGCTGGTACCCCATCAAAAGGCATGTAGTTTGGGAAAATTTATAGTAACTAAACATATTTTTTTGAAGACCTTACCAGTACTTGATCCACATAATCAAGGCGATCAGGATGAACACGGAGGGTAAATGTAAGAAGAGAGACATACAAAGATATGGCTCCAACAATAGGCATGTCCATCTGTGCTTCTATCACCTGAAATTTAAATATAGGTGATACATTAAATTAGCACACACTTCTAGACATCAAATAAAGAGGCTGTTGGTTGGACAACAAATTAAGTACTAACCACAAAGATAAGTATGTTTCATGCTTAACACGAAACAACAAATGGATCCTATCTAATAAAGAGGCTGTTGGTTGGACAACAAATTAAGTAGTGTACAATTTTCAATAAATCAGAAGTCACCCCCAAAAACATCTCTCCATATTGTACTCTGCCTCCGTTACTACATCCTTTTAGCAAAAAATTATCGCTTTGTCCATTCATTGTTTTCCCTTGGCATACTACATCCTTTTAGAAATTCAAAACGCTTTGGACTTTTTCTGCAACAAAATTTTAAATAAATACTACAGAAAGTGCACTGAATTGCCAATTATTACTTGCTGGATCGAAGTGTAGTTGAGGGAGTAGCCATCAATGTAAACATTTACTTCAAAGAACAAAGGAACTTACCCTCCCAATGGCACTGCTTAATTTAGCGAAGGCTTCCACTTGAAGAAATTCAGGTAATACCTTGAACGAGAATCCACAATCATCAAAATTACAACACCCAGAAAGAGAGAAAGGCCATAATAAGAATGAAAAACTGAATAAAAAATTGTGGAAGCGTGACTCAAAAGATTACTTTTAGATAACTCACATCTGTACTTGACGCAGCATAGTTTGATAACCTCTCCATTAATTGAGATAACACAGTCTTGATATCAACTGTTGGCTGCATTTGAAAATATATAACGCAGAGGGAAAATGAGTTAAAAGGTTGCTTTATTGGGCGTAATATCTCGATATGAATAAACGACAATATAAGGCTACTATGACCCACAAGTAATCGAGGCAAATGGCCAATCTGGCCTCTGTGGTTTGAGCTGTTATTTCAACTATACATATGACCAAGCAACCATTGATTAACATATGCATTTATCATTACATATGTAATCAAATAAATAAATAACCATGCATAATCATGTGAAAGTAAAAAAAAAAAAGAGAGAAAAATGACACTGCTATGCACCTGAAGCTGGGGGAAGGCAGCCAACAATGTCTCCAGTGTCTGCAAGTGGTACTCATCTGGAAAGACCTGGATTATGCAATCCATCAAATAATATTGGGCCAACTCATCTTTACAGTTGATAACCTGCGCACACCAATTTGGATAAAAGTTTGAAATATTAGAAAAGGAACATTGAAAGTATTCAAGAGTTAACAAAAAGACAATATTATTAAGAAGCGAAGCAGATTAAAGAACCTGTTCTAATACTCTAGGAAGAACAGTGGCTTTGTACATTTCAAGTTCCACGCCCTCTATCTGACTGAGAACATGGAGATTTTTCCCAACCTACCAAGACAATTCAGAAAGGTGTAATTTCTCTATTATAATGTGTTATGCAATGATTCATCTGCTGATAGGTTCAGATTTTTGATATTACAAGATCACGAAGTTCGCTTCTTTCCTTTTCGCGCTTCTCTCTCACATGACCAGGTCCCTGCAGACGAGAAAGCCCAACAGAAGGCTTCAACTCAGGATCGCCAAAGAGTATGAATGATTCACAAGCACCATAAGACCTGCATGGCCAAAAATCATGCCCTCATGGTTCATTTTTACCTCTATGGCATGCAAGTACTCTGGTGCCATGCATATTCAGACATTAAAGCAGATAAATTTCATAGATGTCGAACAAACCTGATACTGCATTCGAACCCAAAGCTTATTCATTTCTGTAAAATTCTGTAGCACAAAATCTACAGCATCCATGACAGTGTCAGCATCCCTGCAATGCAAGGAGATTAAACTATGACTCAAATCAAGCAACATGATATCCATGGATTCCATAAAAAGCCAATGTTATTAAACTCAAAGCTTACTGCTAGCCAAAACCACCCAAATCGAAGAAAATTTTTGCATTTTCGACAATAGAATTTTGCTCCAGCATAAAACGGATTCTGATTTATTTCTGGTCATAAAATCGTTCTCCATTTTATCAATGTATGAAGTAACAAATCTAACCCCTGAAACAATCTTACCCTTCATACTCAGAACCAATATCAGGCAACTTGTCTCTGCTGACTTGAGAAAGATAGCTTCTTAAAAAGAGCCCTCGAATTGGATGCTGAACGCCGCGACACATTTCGACAAGATCTTTAAGTACGTCCTTGGCCGGCGCTTCCTTAGATTTAATGTACACGGATCCTACCGTACATAGCAGATACCTGTTAAATAAGCAACATGAAATTCACATACACTGACCGAGCTGAAACAACAAGAATAAAACACTCACTGCACTAAAAGCTATTTACTTTCGAGAAACGACAACATTTCCCAGCAAGAATTTGATGCTTTCAACAATGTATGACTTACAATCTTGGTAAAATGTTGCCGGCATGCTGAACAAGTTCGTAGAGATCGATGATCGAAACGCCGTGTCTGCTCTCATCCTTGAAGAACATCTCCAGCCTCCTCAGCTCATCGAAAGCTCGCATATCTATTAGAATCAAGAATCCAAATCAAAACTCGGATCAGGTCAAAGGTTAGGAATCGGGCGAAGAACGTGAGAGCTTACAGAGATCGTAGTATTTGTGAGGCGAAAGCCGAGAGGTTCTGAGCTCCGACAGCATCAGGGCCGAGAATTTGAGGGCGTCTCTGAGATTGTTGGCGTCCTGCGAAAATTGAAATGTGAAATCGGACAAGATGGCGGAGAATTAGGGTTTTGGGAGAGGAATGTGATTGGGTGAGAAATAATAGTACCAGAGCGCGATGCATGTAAAAGGCATGGTGTTGAATGCCGGCGATGCCTTCCGCCAGCCATTTCTCTTCGTCTCCGATTACGTCCGATCTCATTTTCTCCCTCCCTCCTTTTCTCGCCGAAACGCGGCAACCAATTCGTCGGAGTAACGCTGAATTTTTGTTCTTTTATTCCTTTTTGGTTATTTGGGAACGTTGAATGTTGGATTTCTTGGTTGTTAGCAGTTGAATGTTGGGTTGCTCATGCATAATTGGGATGGGACCCCACTTGATCTTGACAGTGACAGCGTAGGCAAATTGGATTGGAAATTTTGATTTCGATAACATTGAACTTTAAAAAACTCTTATCAAATCTGAAATTCGACATCCGGATCACTATTAGGTTTGATTAGAAATTGAGTTTGGCTTCAATATTACGTAATAGCCGTGTTATATTTGTCTTAGCCGTTAGATTTGACTTTTACCATCGTTAAACTTTATTGAATAGCCTATTAAAATTTTCTTTTTCCTCTAGCATTTTAATTTATGTGTTATAGATGAATCTAGAAGTATAAAAGGCTTCTTTTAATCAAAAACAAGTTTGGACAACATATCGTTGTCATATAAGTAAAACTTATCCCTAAACCCGTCTTTGTAACAAAATGTAATACGAGCTCATAAACCATCTTAAAGACATTATATTGATATGGTTATTCTCTCCAATTTGATATCTCGAAGCTGACAAGTTAACAATTTCCTATATTTCACCCCCAAACTAAGAATCTTGCCTTCTTCATTCACGACCTACCGAAGTCTTCTTATCAAACTCCGTATTGTTGTTTCCTTTTCTCCAAACTTGGGTTGTTCGCCCCTTTACTATAACTAACCCTTCTTTATCGTTACTGCTTATTGAGTACCTTGGTTTTGTGAGCTTTCTAAAAGTTCTAGTAGTTTTCATTAAATTATTGACTTTTCATTGAGATTGAGCCAATAGAATCCTCTTCTGATCTCTTTGGTGAAGATCCGTGAATTGTGTCTGTTCATCGTACATTGTGGGGTCAGTTTTTATCAGTTACTGTTTGTGTTTAATTTTAAATTAAAATATTTAAAAATTCACGAATTCTTGGGATTCTCACAAAGAGTGACACGCCCCGATCCCGGTGTCCAAGGGACATCGCGATGGCCACGTGATGGGCGACACCTAAAGGTGACGCAAGCCATTTAATGAATGCATATGCTGAGAACGTGCAAAACATGCGTATAAATTATAGCAAAATAATAAGATGTGACTATTTGTTTCTAGGAGAAGATAGTGATATAAATAATATTCAACTGACAACAATGAATACATAATGATAATACATGACATGTTCAGAGCATACATCTAGTTCAGAATACAAGCAGAAGGTGAAATTACAATGATGTCAAAGCAGAAGAGATGGCACGATATCACTGGTAAGGGAATGCCTCATAGCACGTGTCGTAAACCTCGTTCCTATGTCATGAGGGGGTGCAAGACAAACGTGAATGGACCCCTTCTAAAATGTATGATTTAATGGTAGAAATGCATACTTGAAAAACATGATTTAATGGTTACGTTTTATGAGTAAATTGGATTTACATTATATGATTATCATGCCTTGCTTAGAATATTTTGGAATACCATATTTTCTGTCGAACTAATGTTCTTTGTAGTATAGATGGTGGATGACTTTATACTACTTACGAGCATGCTTTTGCACACTTTTTTATAGTATATATGATGGATGACTTTATACTATAAAGATGTTTTGGGATACACACACACACACCTATATTTGGAAAGTCTATGTTCAACGGTTTTTGTGCATAACTAGTGGTCACATACTGACCTTCGAGTTGGGTAATGTAGGAGCCTTCGAGCGATGACACATATATTGACCTTCGGGTTGGGTGTTGTAGGAGCCTACGGGCGATTAATAATTGTGAAGGAAATTTCTAAAGAAAGAGTTTTATATGCCTTTGGACGATACTGATACCACTAGTTAGCATACTATATATGACATATGTTTTATGAAGGTTTTATGACATGCTAGATTTTTCTAAAAACCTATTACATATTATATTATTGAGTTTTCATAAAACTTTGAAAGTTAGTATGTTGATAACTGTTTTATTATATATATAGGACATTGAAATCAAGACGTGTCAAAAAAGATCCGACGAGTATCCGGATTCGGGATTGAGAACTTAAGAAGATCTTTTACAATATTACAACGAGATGGTGGCCTGCATAGAAAGTTGAAAGTATATGATAACTATGAGTTAAAAAATTTCGTTTAGTATGCGCTGGTGTACAGTTTGCAATAATTTTTTTTTATATTATTGAATCAATGTTTGTTAAATTCTTAATTTTGAATTTTATTATCGAATCACATATCATATACGGAAACATAGTAGACTTTTTGGGAATTTAGAATAATTGCATTTGGGTGGTGAAGTGGAGAGGCAGCACGCCTGGTCAAAATCGAATGGCAGCAGATCTGACTTACCAAAGGTCAGTCACTTTAGGTGTACCAATCCTTTATTGGGCTGCACGGTTTTCAGCGTATAAGAGATGATTATAATTTTTTATTTTAATTTTTATAATTTAAAATTAATAGAAATGATGTTTGAATTGTACGCTTTTAATCATTTAGTTCTTTAAAAAAAATAAAAAAAAAGCTCTGCAAACTTGAAAAAAACCACCAATTCAAATGAAGAGGTGAATTTGACAAAAATACTCTTAATTTAACGAAAAGTTTTCATGAAATGATCAAAATACTAACGGCAAATATTTCATGGACAAAGATAAAAAGTTATGCTAATATGAAAGAGCATTTAAAAAAAAAAAAAACCTTAAAAAATAGTTTTTTGATTAGGTGGGTAAGATTTTTGCACGAAGAAAACGACTTAGCCGTCAAATATTCAAAACAAAAAGATCCGGGTCAACTTTACCCGTCTTTCATTCCATCCTCTTGTGTTTTGTTCTTCATTAACATAATTGCAACTCATGAATTTATGAGCTCACCCTGTATTTTCCTTTGGATTTTGGTAAATATTTGTTTAATTAATTCATAAAATTGTCAAATTTTTAACATGTTAAACGTTAACTTCTCAGTTAGGTATGATAAATAATTCTGTATGTATATAATATTTTCAAGGGAGCATCAGCATACATTTAAAGGAGACCGGGACTTTGACGTTTGAAAGGTTGACTGATGATCAACGAGGGGCTAACTATTCATTTTATCATCTTCATTAATCTTCCGAAAACTCAAGTTTATCGATGCACGATTCATTAGGTTCCAATTACCGAGCCAGTTGTGATGAAGCGCTTTTGAGCTCCACTTGTCCATTCAAAACAGAGATGCCAGAACGAGCTCTTGGATGGCCTCTTCAGAGACTAACTGTTAGTCCTCTGAGGCTGAGCCGGGAAGCTCGCCGAAAATCGGATAGCTTTGACATGTTTTCCGAGAGAGAGGATGATGAATCACCCTTGTCGAGGCCGGGTTGGCCTCTATTGCGGATAGCTGCTGCCTCAGCGGAAACTATGAGTACTACTCCTATGAGAGAATTCAAATCCAGAGAAAACATGTCCGTGGTACAGTGGGTGATGATGGACCTGCCTAGCCGTCGATTTCTTTCGGTAAATTCGCAGCGGCGGGAAGGTGATGAAATTTGCTCGACAGTAGCACCAACACAGCTTTCTGATGAATTGGAGTTTCTCACTGCAGAAAACTCAGAAGGTTGCAAGGTTTTCAGCTATGCGGAACTTAGTAGCGCAACTTGTCACTTCTCGACAGGTAAATTAAGTGCTCGTTTGGGCCTGTTTTTGTAAAAGGAACTTTTGCTCATAAGTGCTTTTATTAAAAACAAGTTCTTGCTCGCTAGAATTTAAACAATTGGTTTGTGAACAGAAAATCTTATCGGCGAGGGAGGGTGTAGCAGCGTGTACAGAGGGTGCCTTGGAGGCGGAGAATCAGTGGCGGTCAAGGTTCTAAAATCGTACAAGGAAGCTTGGAATGACTTTTTCTTGGAAGTCAAGTTTGTGTCTTCAATTCAGCACAAACACATCACTTGTCCAATTGGTGTATGCGTGGAAGATGGCAACCTTATTTTGGTCTATGACCTCTTTCCCAGAGGGAGCTTGGAAGGAAACTTGCACGGTGAGAAATTAGAACGAATTCGTCATCGAACGAGACTAATAATTCGATTTTTAGTCTCTGAAATTTTTAATTCTATTTCGTTTCATCTTAGTGCAGGTTGCAGTGATGGACTTATACTTCCATGGGATGTGAGATTCAATGTGGCGGTCGCAGTTGCAGAGGCTCTAACTTACCTGCACAGTGACTGCCCTCAGCCGATCATTCACCGAGACGTTAAATCCTCAAACATTCTTCTCTCCGACGACCTTCAGCCGCAGGTATATACATATATGATCTGCCTGCAGTACCTTCATATTTCACTTTCCTGCCAAATTTTACATTTTTGGGTTCAATCTCGAGTTTAATTTTTGTTTGCAGTTATCTGATTTCGGGCTTGCTACATGGGGACCGATGGATTCTGGTTGCGTGATAAGTAGTGATGTGGTGGGAACTTTTGGATACATGGCTCCGGAATATTTCATGCATGGGGTGGTGAGTGACAAGATTGATGTTTATGCCTTTGGCGTGGTTCTCCTCGAACTATTATCTGGTCGAAAGCCGGTCAATGCCGAGGCTCTGAAAGGACAAGAGAGTTTGGTCAAGTGGGTAAGCATATTTATATATATCCCGAGCTTCTACATTTAGATTTTATGCATTTCCCGCATTGCTAAACAAAGTTCTTCGTTCAGGCAAGACATTTGTTAGATATTATGGATGTTAAGACATTGCTGGATCCAAAGTTAAATGGAGACTACGATTCGGCCCAAATGCGTAGAATGGTAATGGCAGCAGGGCTTTGCATAAACCAGTCACCTCGTCTTCGACCGGGCGCGAGACAAGTACTGAAGCTACTAACGGGAGAGACGGACGCAAACAAGTGCGTCGATCTTCATGCAGTGAACTCGTGCTATCAAGATGAAGATGACAACCAATTCCTGGAAATCGGGTGTCATTCGGTTTCCGCTTTGTCTGATACAAATGATGGAAGCATCAGCAGGTCAAGTTCAACTGATACTGCGTCTAGTGTAGAGAAACCACGCCGGTACAAGTTGAAGGACTACTTGCTTATCCCTGACCAGTATTCTTTGCGTGAAATTTCTCCGATAAACATGTAATAAGTACATACATATATATGCAGAGAAATCTGCTGAAATTTTGAGTTCAGCATTGAACAATTTAATTAGAGAAAAAGAACAAAAAGGAGACCTATGTTTTTCGTATGAATTAGTCTTAAAATTCAATTGATTAACAAATACATCAATGCTCATTACACTGTACAGTTAAAAGCCGCTAGTGCTTCTAGAAAAAAAGGAAGAAAAACTAGAACGGAACCGTGTAGGACAATGCATATATGCCGGCCTCAGGCAACAATTGTGCTTTCGGCCACTGCGTGCTGCCTGTACGACATGAGACCTCACTGTCAGCTTTAGATCTTTTAGACCGGCGTCTGTTTTGTGACGCTGTCCCAAAGAGCCATTCTTCGTCATCGGCATCATGGAGGGTAAATTGGAACGGAGGTGGAATCCAATTCTCCATCACATTTGCACACTCTGTATCTTCTCTCCCAATTCTCTTTTCACCGGTCATTTTGAACCCCTCTGTTGTTGGACAAGACAACTCTTGGTCACAATTGGATGCAACTCCAACAGTTGCCTCCGAACTATGAGGTTGATTGGGTGCAGGAACAACTTCTGACCTTTCTGGAGGGAGGAAATGTGTCATTCCAGAAGAAGAGGGCGCAAGTGAGGCATCTGGTTCACTGGGCTTTCGCAATTTAAAGCGAATGATCAAAGGCCTTTTCCTCTTATTGCCACCTTGGTTGCCATCAGACAAGTAGCAATTGTTTTCAGCACAGCTTGGCAGCTCATGCTCTTCGGTAATGTCACTTTTCTCCAGCTTATTACCTTCATCTTCTCCATTTTTAACAAACCATCCATTTGCTTCCGCTTTTCCCTTCTCTTGCTGGAAGCACTTCTTGTTAACACGGTTTTTCGAGCTGGGGACAGTAACATAATTGGGTACAACATTCTCCTTCGCCTTATGGCCTTGTCCCATTGTCCCCCTCTTGTCTTTGTTCCTATGATTCTTGGCCTTCTTCTCCGTCTTTCTCTGGGGCTTTTAAGGCACCGGAATAAATTTAATAAGATTGGTAGGGAAGACCAGCGTAACATGACTAAAACACAGATGTACAGAAACCGCCGATGGTAATCGGAATTAAATCTCATTTTTTTACAAGGGCTGGTAAGAAACGAAGGATCAAGAAACAACCAACACTATAAAACATTACAATGTTATAGCTTACGACAATTGTACTGTACCGTAGTGAGATACTTGAGACAATTAGTGGTTTCAGGCAAAAGTAGACATGGTTGCAGGAAGCAACTCAATATCATTAGCCTACATCCAATTTCCATACACAATTCTCTAAAACTTGACTTGCCTAATTCTATGCTCAAAGTTTTAACATCAAATTTATCAAGTTTCGAACACCCAACAACCACAAGCCCAAAGCAAACTTGTATAAGGCTTGAACCTCCCAAAATAATTGGGAGGGTTAGGATTCCAAACACTCCCAAACAACACTCGACTCGGAAAGCAGGTAACAACTATGGGTTCAGATCCAAATCCGTTTTCACGATTGATCTCAATTTACAAAGCGAAAAACTTAATTAAAATTTAATAACAAAAGGTCATGATTTAATTAATTTACCCAAGAAAACGCAAGATCTATCTTTATTACCCAATAAGAAAACTCACAATTTTATCGTAATTACCCAAAAAGTTTCAAGATTAATCTCAATTTTCAAGATATCAATCAAAATTTGTCAAATTTTCCAAGAACACTTATATTTTACCCAAATTAACCTAATTTTTCAAACAAAAGAAACCCCCAAGATCCATCAATTAGTTTCTACAGAAAACCTATTAAACCACCCATCCAATCAAATGCGACAGATACAATACAAGAACACAATCGCAGACATAATATCACAACGATTTACATGTCGAAGAGAGATTAGGGAGAGGCCCAGAAAAATCAGAACCAAATTGCTCAAAAACCAACCTTAACCGGTTCAAACAAGTCCCCCCTACCAACTGCCTTCCTCGAATAGTCCATGCCCACGTAGTTCAACCCCCAACTCATCATCTTTCTTTCAATTACACAAAAAATCGATTCTTTCTGCAAAACCCTAGCACTCAGAGAGTTTTTTTGACGGCTATAGTTTTATTTGCAGATGCAATAACTGGCTAATAGCGTTGGTTTATATAGACTTCAGATTAACCGCCTCTGAGTCGGCACAGGTTTAATACCGATAATGCCCTCAAACTTGACCTAGTTTTATTTTGGTTCCGTCCCTTTTTGGTTTTACTTGTTTTATTCGAACTCCTTAAATAAAGAAAATTAATAAAAATGATTTGAAAAGTGTAAGTTTTAACGAGATTAAAGTAAAAATAAATAATATTAAAATTGACTTTTTAAGTATAAAAATATAATATTTTTATAAAAATAAACAATATTCGTTAAGGTATCGTTTGGTATGCAGACGGGACGGGACGGAACGGGATGGGACGAGACGGTACGGGATAGGACGGAACGGAATGGAGCGGGAGCAAAGATGCCATCGGATGGAAATAAGGAGGAAGAAGAAGGAGACGGAGAGGTTATAATTTTGTGTTCCACGGATGTGGAACGAGTCGTTCCAGGGGAGTGAGGTGGAACGAAAATTCACCCAAAACTCGTTCTGTGGAACAGCTCGTTCCACCCGTTTTAGGCGCACCAAACGTGGGACGGAACGCCTTGTCCCACTCTATTCCGTCCCGTCCCATGTACCAAACGGTACCTAAAGTTTCTTTTTTTTAATAAGACGGGCTCCACCTTTGGGTTTACAAGTTTAATACCAATTATACCCTCAAACAAAAAACGATTTTTTCGGATTTGCATGTACTTGCCGACACCAAAACCCTGATTAAACCCAAACAGGGCTCTTCCATTTCAACGAAACCCAAAAGTTCGAGACTTGCGACTTCGCGAGGAACGAGAGAGCGACTACAGTGGTCCGAGATTCGTACACCATGAGAAGGGTTAACGGAATCGCTTTCCTCACCAGAGTAGCCATTTCTATGGGCGGCGCCACCACAACCACCTCCGCAACTCAACACCGCCTGGTTCACGCAGCGATGTTGAGCACGTGCTCGAATTCGAATCCGTTGTGGTTCACACAGAGGCTCGGCGATCGCTTCGGCCTATCGAAACCCTCCTCTGTGCCTCGCTGCGCGGGAGGGCACATGTGCTTCTCGGCAAACGCCGCCGCGTCTGCGGCTCAGGAGGTGCACCCCCACGTGAAGTCCCTCCCCCAAGACGTCGTGCTCTACCAATACGAAGCTTGCCCTTTCTGCAATAAGGTTAGAGGTAAACTATCTCGAATTCATATCTGAAGATGAAATTATCCAACTTTCCTTCCTAATTTGGTTACTCCCAGTCTTTATACAAGATTTCGATCCTAGGATTCTACTTTCGCTTTCGATTTTATGCTCTTTGATTGCTTTAGCCGATGAATTTCTTCTGTATCATAGCCTTCTTGGATTACTATAACATTCCGTACAAAGTTATGGAGGTTAACCCCATCAACAAGAAAGAGATTGAATGGTCTGATTACAAGATGGTGCCGACCTTGAAAGTCGACGGCGAACAGATGGTTGATTCTTCAGGTCTTTGGACATTTTGTCACTTCCCTATAGTGTGTCTTATTTCAAGTTGATTTTGTATTTTTTTTAATTCGTTATGTTTTGTATTCACAGATATAATTGATAAGCTACACCGAAGGATCAATCCTGAAAACACCTTGAATAGCGAAGAAGAAAAGAAATGGCGTCGGTAAGTTTTTGCTTCCACTATTTTGTAAACCTTTTTTTTTTTTGCATAGATACTACAAGAGATATCTCTTGCAGTGACTAGATTTCCTTTTTAATACTTGTATTTGTTAGGTGTTGTGATCACGGGACTTTTGGCACGATAATAACTGGTTAACTGTGATGTAGGTGGGTGGATAAACGTTTAGTACATGTTTTATCACTAAACTTATATCGAACTGTTTCGGAGGCTTTCGAGTCATTTGACTACATCACCAGTCGTGGAATGGTATTGCACTACATCGTTACTGAATTATCTCTCTTTATTAACGTCCCATATCGTCAATTATAGAGAATGCTCCAAATGTATGTGGAAGCTCAATTTCTTCTCATTGTGAGTAACTAGAGTTGTCTTAAACCTTCAGTAACAGATACTCCTAAACTATCACTAGGACATAGTTAAGTTCCAACCTTAAAAATCTGTTTCAGTTTGCATTGCCTTCATTCTCAAAACAATTTTGCACCTGTGCTCCCTTGCGGTTGCAGAGGCTTTGGATGTTCCTAATTAAACCCCGCTTACCATTCTAATTTTAGGAAATACAGGCTCCTTCCCCTAGAAGTGCTGGATTTATGCTAGCATTAGTTCTTTTAAAATCTCGGACATGCAGGAAATTTCAGTTTATATGAAAGGATGGTAGCAAAGTACGCTGGAGCTGCTGCTACGTATTTTGTGTCAAAGAAACTAAAGAAGAGACACAACATTACTGATGAACGTGCAGCCTTGTATGGAGCTGCAGAAACATGGGTGGATGCTCTTAAAGGCAGACAATTTCTTGGTAATGTTTCTTGTTAAATATTGTATACTATTAAGCAAGACTTATTTTATGATCGAAACTGTGAATTTACCGGATGATCTTGTCTTTGAACAGGTGGATCAAATCCTAATTTGGCCGATCTTGCTGTATTTGGTGTTTTGAGGCCTATTCGGCACCTTAAATCTGGCAAAGATATGGTGGAGAACACGCGGATCGGTGAATGGTATACTCGAATGGAAAGTGCTGTGGGAGAGCCTGCCAGAGTCGGAGTCTGAAGGTGGAACTTATTTGTTGCTTCAGATATCATGGATAAATGACATCCCTTGAACTTTACCTAGTATGTTACTGGTAATATGCATCATGAGATATTCAGACTTCGCATCAAGTTTTTTTTTTTTAATAATTATTTTAGGATATGAGTTGTTATGGTTGATCTTGTTATTAAAATATACAAATAAAAAGAAAATCTGTCAAATTATTTCTTTCGGTGTTGTCGACCATATAATAATTGTCGTCAATATCATTTTTGTCGGATTATATTTCACATGATGAAATGTTTCTACATCTTCATTTACTTTCCACCAAGAGCTCTATTGAAAAGCATTTTGACTCAACAATTATGTAATTGAAGTGTCAATAATATCAATATAAATATGACGTTGATGATAAATGATGTGTCAATATGTTTGTTGATATTGAGTTGTTGGATGTGATATACTTGTCGATCTTGAATAATCTTATAAAACATATGATCAAGCGGCCTGATCAAAGATTATCCTATCGTGAGAGTAGTTTGGCACTTGATGTAGGTTTATTATGCAAAACCGTGAGCAGCTTAAGCATGGTTCTCGCACGAAGATTGTAGTAGCTGCGTGGCAAGCCCTGCTCACCGCCATTCAACACATGTGTCTGCTTTTAGTGCATGCAGGACTATGTCCACGCATTAACACTATTCCTCGTTAATTTCTTCGTTTTTATAGATCATATGATGATGTTATCTACATTATTTTTTTAAACACATTATTAATTTTTGTTATTTGATTTTTTTCAATTCATTTAATCTGACAGTCGAAAATTGAAGAAATATGTAACAAATAAAATGAGTGTAAATAACGGCGCTCAAAAATAAATTATGACATGTTAGTAAATTATTATTTATATTTTACAAATTATAACAATAAACAAATATTAATGCAACATGTAAAAGAAGTGTGAATTGAATTGGCAGAAATTTATAAAAATAGGAAATAGGAAAAAGATAGAAATGCTATTCTTCAGCCTTTCCCAATGACCAAACTGACAATTTCTCCAATCTCTCTGATTCTCTCAATCTCCTCCCCCTCTCCCTCTCCCTCTCCCTCTTCATAACTTCTGACCCTTTCCCGTCTCTCAATTGAGAGTGAATCTCTCTCTCTCTCTCACTTTCTTTATGAAATCTCTGACCCGATCATTCTGCGACCCTTCTGTCACCAAATCTGGATGTGTACGTCGTAGTTTCCCGCCACCCCCACTTCTCTATGCCATTAAATGCTTCCATTGGTTTTCAAGCCTTTTGGGATTTTGGGCAACAGAGAAAAAGACTCCCAAAGCTCTTAACTTTCTTTATTATTAACCTTTTTTAGTTCCTTAATTAGCATTAATTAATCACATTAAGAAAGATTTGTCCGTTTCCTCTCTCTATATATAAACCACTCATTCAGATAGACCAGAAACTCAAAGCAACAAGGAAGGCAAAGGTTATGCCAATAGAGAGAGAGAGAGAGAGAGAGAGAGAAGGGGTCATGCATGTTTTCTGATGTAACAAGAACATTAAACCCTCCAGCTTTTCCAAACCTGCCCCATTTTGTTTCGTATTAAAAAGTCCCATGAAATATGTGAAGGCAAAAGATTAAGGTTGTGCAGAGGAAAAAATATGGCAGTTCAGGCACAAAGTTTGTACTTTTCTGAAGATTGGTCGGCGGCGGCGGCGGCGGCGCTGCCCCACCCTGTTTCCGGCCTCGATGACATTTTTTCCGGCATTCCGAGCCCTCAGCCCCCTGCCGTTCCCCCTCCTCATCATCACTTTCACCTCCGTCTTCCAGCGGCTCAGAATCAGAGTCAGACTTTAAATACGACGGGCTTTGATTTCTGCAACCAGTTAGGATCTTCGGTTTCGCCTTCCACTTTCAATAGCTTTCCCCCAACACAGTTCGCGGAAAACTTAGGGGCGCAGATGGACTTGCAAAGGCACGAGCTTGACTGCATTATTCAATTGCAGGTGATTATTATTGGTGTTAATTTTCTTTAAATTTCCTTCATAGGTTTCCTTTATTTTTCACGGTGACTGTTGGGTTAATTTTATTATTGCATCACTCTCAGAATTTCAAATAAAACAAGAACAAGGATTCAATTTTTTGTTCGTTTTTCTCAAATAATCACTTAATATCATTAGACTTGAAAAAGAAAAAAAAACGCTCTTTGTAATTTTTTTTTAGTGAAAACGTTTGTAAATAACGGATATTTTTTCCTCATTTATTTATTTCTTGAAAAACAGAGTGAAAAGCTGAAGTTTGCATTGCAAGAGCAGAGGAAGCAACAGCTAGCAGCTCTATTGAGCAACCTAGAATCCAGAACGTTAAATTTACTTAGGCAGAAAGAAGACCAGTTAAGACAGGCAACCAAGAAAACGATGGAGCTCCAGGACTGCCTGAGAAAAGCGGAGATGGAAAGCGACACTTGGCAGCGGGTGGCGAAAGCGAACGAAACAATGGTGATGGGCCTAAACAACGCGCTCGAGGAGGCCAGAGAGCGACTGGTTCTGGTCAGCAGCGAAGCGGACGACGCAGAGTCCTGCTGTGAAAACAGAGTAGCAATTATGGAGGAAGACCAATTGGAAGAAGCGAAATGGAGAAAGTTGGTTTGCAAAAGCTGCCACGCGCGGAGCTCGTGCGTGCTTTTTCTGCCGTGCAGGCATCTCTGTTCGTGCAGATTCTGTGAAGGATTTCTTGGATTTTGCCCCGTTTGTGATTCCGCCAAGGAGGCAAGCATGGAGGTCTTTTTTGTCTAGCATGGAAAAGTGCCAAGCAAAAAGTGCTTCCAAAATAGCATCAATATTTAGTTGTACTCTTGTGAATCATGATGCCTTTTGCTAATTCTCCATTTTGGCTGGTCCTTTCATCATACATCGGTGTATAGCAATTCTGGGAAAAGGTTGTGGAGATTCGAAGGATGTTGTAATTGTGTTTGTTCATTGTATGTCGTATCGTTAGAAATTATTAAAAATTAAAAATTAAATATAAATAGTATCTAACGAAAATTGATCGCACGATGTACGATGAACAAATTCGATTACAAGACCTTCTGAATTCCTAGGAAATGGATTCTCGCTTGATCATTTTTTGTAAATTTGCTTTTTAGGTTGAATTTTAGATTCATTTGTCAAATTTTATAATATTTTTCAACATGTATTTGATCGTTAATTTACGCTATTAATGTTTATATATTTATGATATTTATGCGACTAGTGTACAGTATGTTTGCGTTTTCAAGTATTGAATTTCATGATCACCTTTAGGATACATCCCTAAATAAAGTAATGTATATTATACGTTTTATGTGTGTTAGAATTTTCAATCTTTGGATATGCGGTCGATTTGTACTAAAAGGAGAGGAGTTGCCTATACATTCTTTTTTTAGGTAAAAGAGAGGAGTTGCCTATATATTCAATATGCCATCGTTATATTTTTAGACCAACTAAGCATGGTTTAGGGATGTCTCTCCCAAAAGAGAGAATCTTGGCTTTATAATTATTTACCTGATTTGGGTTGGAATCTCAGAGGATATGATGCTGGGAGGAGCGTGCATGCTTTTTTTTTATTGTGTCACAAGAAAGCCAGCTCTCTCTCTCTCTCTCTCTCTCTCTGTTTATATAGGCGTAAACAGAGAGCGTACGGCTCCAAACCTACAACTGACAAAAGGGAAATATGAAAATTTTGGCGTTTGTATTTAAAAGATTACACGGACTGCAACTGTCACCACCGCCACTTTTTGGTATCATAATCTTTTGTTTTTTTTCTCTGCTTTCAATGAAGCTTGACCATTCGGAAATGACACGAGAGTCGTCGTTGAAAGAAGCAAACTTCGCAAACGCAGCAGCTCAGCTTCAGATGCTGCAAACAAAACGATGCCTTATTGTTTTCTCACAATGTCTTTTGTATAAAAAGAACTCGCATGCAATGATCAACTGTCGTGTGAGAGAATTAATGGACTTTTTCGAGAAGGGAGATCTGCTTCTTCTGCTCCTGGTTCTTGTCGTGCATGGAAAATCTCAACGCTGATTTTTTGTACTTTTTTCTTTCCCTCAGTAAAATAATTAATCTCAAAGAGCAGAAGAGTCGACAGAAGAAGATGGGCACCACTCACCCGGTCAGACAGCGACTGATCTGGCCGAGAGTCTTCCTTCCTCATTTCAACTGGCTGAGAACCGTGTTCCATTCCTCCCTGCAACATGATTCCATGAAATCCCATTCCTACTAAGCTTTTCGTGTGTTCAACGTCGTGATCACGGAGCCTTTAGTTTTAGGGAACATTGAACAAGAAGGTCTGCATATTTACTTTATTGGTTCAGCTTTAAGAGCTTGCTTTCTACTTTTGGACAAAGTAACGAATTGTGGCGTAATGTTATTAATTTAATCGTTAATGAACGAAATATATAATATCAAATTATTTTTCATAACTAATTAATAGTGATGGGAATGAGACAATTCATTATAATCTAAGCAATATTTTTTAACTTAACCAAGTAACATGAACACGTGCCATTCAGTATTACGATTTGGTAATATTCTTCTTTGTTTAGAAATGAGAGGTCTTAGGTTCGAATATCGTTGATGGCGAATTCGATACCAAATTAAGTTGCCCATTGTGTGGTTTAGTCGAACTCCCACTCTATCTAGTGTAAAAATATAGATATACTAAAAAAAAAAAAAAACAAAAAAGTAACACGAAACACCTATGACTGTTTTATTTGATGCACAAGGAAATTTGCTTCGATGATACGAAGGAAACAAACATTCCACTCAAAACCAATTGGTTATGCAAAGTGACCCTACTCCTTTCTACATTAGGGAACACGCATACAAGGTCTAAGTTCACTAAGAACAAAAGTAATTAACCCATTGTGAAACTAAGCTCACCCCTATTTCTTAATGTATATAATATCGTTTGGTAAAAAAAAAAATCCTCTCTTAAGTGGGCTCACTTTAAATCTGCTCGTAAATGAAAATGTGAAATCGGGCCCATTAGACCTCAAAACTTGAAATACGAAAAAAGTGAGATCAGCCCATTTGTATTTTCTGATTGTTTCTGGATTACATCGAAACGTCCCCTTAAACTTATTCATAACCACACGCAAGACCGTTTGTTAGTTAAGGCCTTGTTGTCGCCAAACGCAGAGAAACGCCCAGCGCAACCGCATTTTTTTATTCCGCCTCCGCCTCCGCCTTCTCTTCCTCCTCTCTCTGAAACGACCTCGTCGCGATCTGCGATCAGCGATGCAAAACGGGGATTACTCGTCCGCTCCGTATTACCAGTACCCACCTCCACATCAAAACCCTAACCCTATCCCCAACCCCGCCGATCACCACCACAACCCCTACGCCTCCGCACCGCCCTTCACCTCCTCCGATTACTCACCTTATTCCCAATCTTACCCCCCGTATTCTCTGAATCCCGATCCTGCCCCTCCCACCGCTCCTTCCTACGCCCCTCCCCCTCCAATCTCCAATCCCAATTTGCAAACCTTCAATCCCACGCCACAGCCGCCTTCTTCTTTCCCTCCGTTCGAGACCCATTCCCCCTATCAACCGCCGCCACAGCAGCAACCTTATCAACCACCGTACGAATATAACCAATCGGCTCCCAGTTACGCCACTTTGCCGCCCTCGATTCCCGCCAACCCTAACCCTAATTCCAATCCCTCCTCTCCATTTTCGTCCGTTTACCAGAGCCCGTTTTCTCAGCCTCCACCTTCGGTGCTGCCTGTATATGAAAATTCTTACGAGAATTCTCTGAAATTTGATCACGGCGGTGGTTCCGGCGGCTCCTATTTAGATGATAGGTATGGGGGATACAACCGGACCCGAACCGATTTGGGATCGGATCCATATGGGAAGCGGTATGATGCAGGTCTCGATGCGGGGTACGGCGACGGTGTTTATGCTTACGGAGGTGACAAGGTGGAGCCGTATGGAGCTCGTGGCACTGCACCCAAGTCTTCAAGCTCGACTTTGTTTGATGATTACGGAAGGTCGATCAGTGTCCCATCTGGGAAAAATACGCCGGTGAGCTCGACCAAGATCGTCCGGGCAGTACCCAAGGTCGATACTCAAGAGGATGCAAAGAGTGGTGTGCAGAAGTTTCGGGTCAAGCTGTTGGCTGAAAGTGGAGGGCAGAGCACCATGGATGTCCTTTGCCAGGTATGTACAGGGAGATACTGCGTTCTATTTAAGTCCAAGCTTAAATTTTATAGAAGCATTAATTACTTAGTTATCCTTGTGTTTACTGTGATTGGATTTTCACACTGTTAATTTTCACTTGTGATTGTGTTGGAGCGGGAACGGATTAGTTTCGTTATGTCGTTCAATATACTATGGATTTCGATGATCATCTTTTGATTTTTTAAGTAAGATTTGCCGATTCTAAATTCTTATTCAGATTGGTTTAGATGGTATCCGCATGCTTGATCCTGCTACCAGTCGGACATTGAGAATATATCCCCTCGAGACCGTTACAAGATGTGATGTAAGTTCAATTTATTTTAGCATCAAGTTCGTTAGGGAACTGTTAATTTAGGAGCTGTTAAGTTATGGACTGAGGTATAAGTGATTTGTATGTTTATTTTCCTTCTCATGCAGAAAACCGACTCATCTACTTTTGCCTTTTGGTCAAAGAGCTCTGTGGATATTGAGCCAAGGCGTATTAGATTGCAGTCAAATAGTTACACTACCAACACCCTTTTGGATACGGTGACTGCTGCAACTGTACAGGTTGGAAACTAGGGAATTTTGCCTTTCCCCTTGCCCTAAAAGAATAATGGTTCCCCTTCTTTATTGACAACGTGTGATTAGGGCCTAGGTGATGCTTTCCTTGTTTCTGCACCTGTTATTTGACATGTTGTTATGTAGTAAGTATAAACATTGATACTTGTTTTAGATGCTTGTGATGCTTTGGATCTATGTAAAAGTTTCAGAAGGTGGGTGGGATTTTTCGTTTCGTGTTTCAGTTATATATGTGTTTGTCTTGAGTAGGGTGGTAAACTACATAGATTGACTTATGTGTCTGAACTTTTAGATTCATTTTGATCAAATAGGCATGAGCAGTCTACGTACATGAGGGGTATGGTTTCATTTTGAAGTAAAGCCAGCTGATTTGTCTGTGCATAAGTGCATTGATATCAAATGTGTTCCTTCGATGCCTAGTCTCTAATGATATCTACTGGACATATTTGCAATTCCATGTACTGGTTGGTTTCAAGCGTTCATAATTGGGAAAATGAAATCTCTATCATTTAGTTTGGAACTTAGTGAATTTTGTTATCAACATCTTTTTGGCCTTCTTATACTGAAAATGGAAATATGAACTTACCGTATGTATATGTTGATATTATGATTGGATGGTTACGTCTTTATAAAATTATATGCTTTTATTGAAGATCTGAATGGTGCATAATATGGTTCATATTATGTCCTCAAGACTATGGTTAACCTTATCTTAGAGATTTTGAATGTTGATTACATTTAGTGATGTATTGTTCTTACCTCTTGTAACTCAGCTTAAGGAAATGGGTGGAAGAATAAAGCCTACGGAATCCATAAGGTCAAGTGAACAGTCTACAGAGAGAAAGAAAGGATTAACCGATTGGATGAACATTATTAAACCGGGAAATGAGGAGAAAGATCATTGGGTAATATTAACCTGCCTCCCTTCCCCTTTTGTTTTCTTCGTAGAATGATATAAATGTGGTAGTGCCACCTTTCAACACAGCATTTCTTTTAGCAAGTAATAATATAATCTTGCTCTACTCTTATTTATTTCATTACTGCTGGTTCTTAGGTCCCCGATGAAGCAGTTACAAAATGCACGGCGTGTCGGACAGATTTTGGGGCTTTTAACCGCAGGGTATGTCTAAATTTAATGCGGCATTCTTCATTGTTTGTTCATGTTCTCTTCATTTGCACTTATGGATTTCTCCCCCATTTTAGCATCACTGTCGGAACTGTGGAGACATTTTCTGCGACAAGTGTACCCATGGCAGAATTGCCTTAACTGCTGAGGAGAATGCTCCGCAGGTTCGAGTTTGTGACCGTTGCATGGTACGTCTCTAAGCTGCTTTAGGGTTTATCACTGTCAGTTGATCATATTATTCGAAATACATGAGTAGTAAGTCAGTAGAAGGGTATGGAGAGGACTGAAGATTCTGTTTTATATTTTCAGTATTTCTAATGTCCTTGTCCTTATGTTGTGGACTAGACAATACAAAATGGTTTGGTTTCTTTTTTTCTTTTATCATGTTCGTGTGCCATATAATTCTGGTGGAATCAAGATTTCATTTGGTGTCATTATCCTTTGCAGGCTGAAGTGACCCAGAGGCTCAGTAATGCTAAGGAAGCATCTAGTAAACCTGCAGGACTTCATAGTCACGAGGATCTTGCCAAGAAGCTTCAGGTGATTTCGGTGTTCGTCTTTCGCTTCTACCAGACCAATCTGCTCTTAATTGACATTATGTTTTCCACGAAAGTGGAATTTATTTTGAATATAGAAGCTGAATTTCTTTTGAAGTCTCAGTACATGCATTTTTTTATACATGCCTGTTGTGCGTGTTCACCCTTCCCTTTTTTCGTCCTAAATTCATTTTATTTATTTTGAATAGGAGGAGTTGGAAAGGAATCGCAAGGAATCTTCAGGTAATTTCTTTGCATTTTAAGATTAGCTGTTGGAAATATGAGTAGACCCTCCATTGAAAGGAATTTTTTATGTCTTTTAAATTTTTTGGACAATCTTGTGCATGTTCAATGTCTGAGTTCAGTCAGTTGGGTTAGTTTTGTAACATTTAAATATTAGCTTAGGAGCCAATAAAAAAAAAATATTAGCTTTGGAGCTAGAAGCTATATGAACGTAAACCGTTTGCATGTCCATTCCTCAGGTTCAAAGTCTGATGGATCTGGAAGGAGAATGAGAGAAGTTGCCTGTCCTACATGTACGGTCCACTTGCAGGTAATATATTATATAGAAGTTCAACTGATTTTGAAGTGAAGATTAGACCTCACCCTTATGTAGCGTTTGTGGAGTAGTAGTAGTGTGCATGTTTATATTTTTTTGTGTATGCGGTGATGGAATTACTGGAATTGTTGCAGGTTCAAGTTCCCAGCACGGGGTCGGAGACCATTGAGTGTGGGGTTTGCCAGAATCCATTTCTTGTGAGTGCTCATTGATTCGAAAACAGATTCTCACGACGGCACTCAATTGTTATTTATGAAGTTTCTCGGTTCAATTTGTTTTATTGGATTGCTTATATTTCCTAATAATTTGGAAGAGCTTTTGCGGGTGTCGGTGTTTTTCTGGATTGTTGTGTGACCAGATTGGCTGCTGCTTTCTGCTGTTTTAGAGTGTATATTAAGATTTTTCCTTGTAAGCCCCATCAAACAGACTCTTGCCTTTTTTAGGGAAATTGATGTTCATATAATTACTTATATATCAAATACTTGATGCTCCACTTGTGTATGTGTAATGGTTCATCAGTGTTCACCTTTGTTTGCGAGTCTGTTGTGACCCTGTTTCATGAGAGAATGTGTCGCGTTTGCGGTCATTTGGTTCGTGATTACGATGTATTAACAAATGTATGAATTGAATGCCAATTTCCATTTGAACAACTTTTGTTAACAAAATGATTTTCTCGTGTTGCCGTAATCCGGCGGCCGTTGGATGTTTATGTCATGTATTTGAGATTTTGATGTGGTCATTACTTTGTCAAGCTGTTTATTTCTTAGTTACAAAATTAAGTCGGGTTAATTTAATAATTGTGTTGACTACAAAAATTACAAAACCTACGTGGCGCGCAGGCCGAGTAACTAATGAGCTAACTACGTCCTTCGGTTGAATGCGGGGCGTGCCAACTCGTCGGCCGAGCTCGGCCGAGGAGTAAAATGTGATGTTGTCGCGTTGGGCGCGCTATTGACTTCTGTATCTTGCGATTGCGCCGAGGAAGGAACACTCTCGGCCTCTGGGTTCTATAGCCTGAAGACAAGGCTACTAATTCTACGGAGTTCACAAGTCGTCGGACCCTGATTCGGTCACTGTGATTATATTCGTAAGAGTATAAGCACGCCGAATCGAGACCAAACTATATGGGCACAGGTACTCGAATGTGATGTATGTCTTGATGGTAAACGTAGTTCGGCCGTCTAAATGCCGAACCCTGAAACTCACTTGCGAGTATCCAATCATAAACTCACTCGGCGTCCAATACGCCGAGCAATGCGATCCGTAACACCCAACTATGCCGAAAAGGAAAAGGCTTAGTCAGATGATCTCCACCAACAAAGGTTCGAAAACCCTTCTCGGCCGAGACTTAGATAGATAATCGGTCGACCTCGACGCAGTGCTGTTTATCCAAACTGAAGATGTTTCTCGGTCGGCTGATTCTGCGGCAGCAGTGTTGTTTATCCAAACTGAAGGTGCTCACCGGTTGCTTCCACAGTGCTGTTTATCCAAACTGAAGGTGTGTCGGCAGGAAAAGAAAAGGAAAAATCTCAAGGTGTTTGAGAGGTTTTGCGCAGGGCAATTGTGTGCTGCTGTTCTAGGGTCCCCTCTATTGCGTGATTTCTTGTATTTATAGCACCTCGCTCCTTGAATCCCAATCTGATTTGGATTGGGAATCCTTGTCCCGTTTTACCTTTAACTCGAACAATCCTCGTCCTACTGGGATTCTGAATTCTCCCCCTTTTGAGGCTTTATCCCTTGCTGGTCGAGAATCCTGGTCGCACCAGGATTTCCTTGACCTTTCCTCATTTATCTGGACTACTTAAGATAGGATCTGGCCGACCCTACCAGCTGGTCTGGGTTCCATTATTTGGCCCATAGCATGTCATTACCTTGGGCCGAGCACATCTTGCTGCTCGGCCCAATCATAATATTTTGGGCCCAAACAAATTGGTAGAGACCATTACTCATGGAAGATACGCAGAGAAGGATGAAGAAATATCGAGGAGTCCACTTTAAACGAAAAGTTGGTGGTCGCGTCGTGAAATTCGAAATGTGACAGACGAAAATTAAGAATACCTTGAAAATAAAAATAGAGAAACGTTTAAGACTCTTAAAAATGACTTTTTATGGTTTCTTTACACGGCAAATGTTATACTGTGAGGTAATAAGGAGCCTATGAAGAGTTTTGATAAAATCTCCTTAACATTTCTCAAAAATATAATAAGAAAATTAATAAAAAGGGTTTGAAAATTTTGAGTTTTAACGATAAGTACAAAATAAAGAGTAAAGTGAATAGTACAAGGATTGACTTTTTAGTGTAAAAATATGATTTTTTGTTAAAGTGTATAGTATCGGGAGTGTTTCGTTAAAGTTCCCAAAAATAAAACTTGAAGAATATTGAGAAATTCTCCTTGGTATTTCCCAAAAAAATAATAACTTGAAGAATAATGTAGTTAGTGCTAAGTGTGGGATCATGATCCTCTCCTGAGCAAAGGGTGAGGATCCTCCTGACCAAGGCCATTGGGCCGTTGAATTTGTATCCAACGGCAACAAATAGGAGGCTCCTCTAAAATTTATAATAATTGTAATCATTGGATAAAATTTCAACGGCTTGATGGGTTTGGTCAAGAGGATCCTCATCCTTTGCTCAAGAAAGGATCCTGATCCCTAAGTGTGCCATCGCTTGCTACATGGTGGGCCTAATTAATATACTTTTTGAACAAAAAAGGGTATTGTTATTCATCATTTTTTTTACCTCTCACATACTTTTGCTAATTTTTATTCACTAATCTTCTTCAATTCATTTGCTCCGAATGCTAAAAATTAATAGAGATATGTGAGAAATAAAACTGTATGTGTTGATACTTGATAATACTATCCAAGGGCTCTGCTACCTGACTTGTCAACCAACGAGTAAACAACATTAACCCCCGGCATGGACAGAGGGAGGTAAGGCCCAGTGGGGGCACATGCCCCCTCTCATCAATTTTTTTTTTTCTTTTTACAAATTATTCAATTCATTATTGTCATTTTTTTGCTTTGCAGATTATTCAATTAATCATATTAAAATAGTGAAAATCCTCTTTTAGTTTTTAAATGCCCCTCCATCTTGTATATTTTTCTCACGCACTAATGTCTAAACCTTGTTGAGTTGCATGCATTTGGTTAATTAGTACAAATGAGGGTTAGATTGTCAACAATTAAAGACAAAATTAGACAATAGAGTAATAAAATTAGGCATTTTGTAATTAATTTTTTCAGCATTTGTAAAAGAACTAGCTTTATTTGTCCAAAAAATGAGCTCAAATTTTTTAAGGTGCCCCTCTTAATTAAATTTTTGGCTTCATCCCTGACCCCCGGTTAGGAGTTGGCATTAATACTTCGATGGTGACCATACAAATATGTCCATTACTTGCAAGTTAGATCAGACCATAATTTTGCTGAGGGTGATTTTCTAGTACGCTTAAGGCATCAGAAATTTTAATCGTTTCGTGATTAAGAATCTAATAACTAAGATTTAACGAGTAAAAACTTTGGTGTATAAGATACACATGAGTCTAAGAGAATTTTGGTAGGCTAACGATTGAATAAGACACTGGCTATTTTTCTTAAAAATTTAAGAGTTAAACATCACATTAACGAGTAAAACGTTTGTAACTCAAGTGATAAAGAGAACTTATTTAGAGATTCAGTGTTTAATAAATCCTCCTCCCTCAATGTCGGTCTATTAGAAAGAGAAAAACATGACAGCTTAATGAATAGGATTATGGTTAGTAGGTAAAATGTCAATTTCATAGTTTTTTAGTTGGTGCAATCCTACTGCTTTATAGATAAATTATTATACTCGAAACGATTTATGAATCGAACCAACAACTGCCGCTTGCAATTAATTTGGCGAGTAGTACGTGGACTGCACACCACCTAAAAATACAGGCTACAGCTGGGAGCCTGGGAGTTCTTTAATTTCCCTCCTTTTTTAGTTACAGAAAAACTGAAAAGGGAAATAATTAACTAATTGAATGGTTTTATTTTGCTTGCTTTCTTCGTCCTTTTAATTTTACAATTTTGTGAAAATTTAATTAATAAATAATTATGATGTTATATTCTTGCACCACCACCATGCATGGAATACGTAGACTGAAAACTCTTTCGGTTAATTCCCGAAGCGACGAACTGTACATATGTGGTTGATTCGAGGGATTTCCTTTTAAAGAAGGTAGCCAGCACCTGTCGTCATGAGAGAGGGCGGAAAGCCCGGGAGGTTTGTTTTTTATCGCTTTGACTGAGACGAAAATACCCTAATTTGGTGTAGTTTGATGACCAAACTCTTAAGGATCTTGGTTCTTTGCACCTGCTTTGTGTGGTGCGGGAAGAGAGTAAAGCGACGTCTTGATGTGAAATTTGCTTCATCTAATCCTTTAACCATCTTCCATTTTTCCGATCTTTGTACTTGCATTCTTCTCTTTTAATAAGATAATTCGCTTTAAAAAAAAAAAAAAAAAAAAGCTACGGCAGCCGCACAAATTAAACTTGTGCTCACTGCTTCTTCACCTAAGCTGCCTAAAATATATATCTTTAATTTAAAGGTCACGTTTATGACACTGATAAGATAGGTATACAACACATAATTTGATGAATCGATGAGTATATACGACTTTCCTTTTGCCAAGTAGGTATAAGCAAGTTTTAAATCTCATCCTGCCATCCAGCACATAAGTCATATGGTACATGATATGCGTGATATGACCTGCAACCAAGAGGCCATGTGGCTGATGATGAAATTATAAATAACATTTTAAAATGTTTTAGTTGAGAAATAATGACATTAATATGGCTAACGTGTAATTGGTCTTAATTAGTTACTTAAAGAGTAAAACCATTCACTTTCCAATGTATTTGACATGCATTATTTTAAAAGAAGTGTTATTGGCACTCCAAAAATCTCATTCTACACTCATTACAAGTGTATTTTTCTTTCTAAATATAAAAAGTTTGAAGTGTAAAATGAAATTTTTAGAGTGTCAATAACAACTCCCTATTTTAAATATGAAAGTTTGTAACACCTAATTAATGGTCGAAAACACATACGCCGTGCATGAAGAAAAAATGAGTGAAAAAAGCATTTTGAAGTATAATTGGGCAAGGTTGGGTTGTCTTTAATTTGTCGTTTCTCTTTCTTATAAGTAGACAAAAATATCTCTAAATTGCAACACTAGTGAACCTCTAATCTATCTATTAAATAACTTTCATTTCCCATTAGGTTTAGGCCCATTTTGGTATTGATTTTTTTTTTCTTCAAAAAAAACGGATTCATTATTTTTTAAAAGGGTTATTACATAAAATTATCTCAACTATTGGATTAGTCACAGTTTCATATTCCATCTTTAAAAAAATTTCAATGTCATACCTCATCTACGAATTTGTTATAATTTCATACATTCCGTCAGTTTGTCTGTCAATTTTTCTGTTATGGCTTGAAACGGAGCCCACTTTCTATTAAAAAATAATTAAATATTAAAAACTAAAAAAAATAAAATTATGATTATTATTATTTTTTCATGGGGACCCACCCCTTATCCCACTCACCCTTTCTTCCCCTCCCGTCTTCCCCAAAACCAAACACCCCAAACCCAGATCTCATCCCGCTCCCGTCTTCTCTGCACCGATCACTACCGCCACTCTCCTTTCGACCTCCCCCGCCGTTTCTCCGGCTTTGCTGACCACCTTCAGCTGTCCCTCACCCACTTGGTTAATTCATACAAAAGATAGAGAGATTACGATAGAAACCAATTATCTGCAAAAAGAAGGGATCTAAATCTCCAAATATTGAAATGGGTTCGGTTCCTTCAGAACTGAGCTTGGATTTTAAACCCACTTTTGTGCCCATAACGATCAATGATTTCCTCAAGGAGATTTCAATGATCGGAAATGTGTCCGAAAAGATGTCCAAGCTTGACGATTTTGTCAAGAGATTGGAGGACGAGATGAGGAAGATCGATGCCTTTAAGCACGAGCTTCCTCTCTGCATGTTCCTATTGAATGATGGTTCGTTTTTGTTCCCCCTGAAAATGAAAAAAAATAAAATAAAATTCAAGCTTTGATTTCAAGTACATATTTTCCTGGCTTTTCACAGCTTTTTGAATTTTTTCGGGATATGGGTTTTGGATTTTTGATGATTTCGATTGATGGGTATCCATAAATTATTTAATTTAATTTGATTTCAAAAATGGGTTCTTGGTTTCGGTTGGTTTTGGATGATGGGTTTTGAGTGGCGGTAGTGATCTGTGCAGAGAAGACGAGAGCGGTGGGGGAGGTCGAAGGGATAGTGGCGGTAGTGATCGGCACAGAGAATACGGGACCGGGGTGGGATCTGGGTTTGGGGAAGACGGGAGGGGGAAGAAAGGGTGAGGAGATAAGGGGTGGGTCCCTCATGCAAAATTTTTTTTTATTTTATTTTTTTAGTTTTTAATATTTATTATTTTTTAATAGAGAGTAAGCCCGTCTCAAGCTACGTCACTATTTAACAGAAGAATTGACACACAAACTGACGGAATGTATGAAATTATAACAAATTCGTAGATAAGGTATGACATTGAAATTTTTTAAAGATGGGGTATGAAACTGTGACTGACCCAATAATTAAGGTAGTTTTATGTAATTTATTCTTTTTGAAAATGACATTAATTATCTTCCAGACAAATTTTTTTCTCATGGAGAAAAAAGTGAACATTTACTGCTACAAATCCTAATCTCTTACACCACCATTGTTGCCACCATCACCACACCATAATCGCGCCACCACCACCACTATTACAACCACCATCACAACCATACCGGCCACCACTAGCACCACAACCACAACTACCATCATTGCCGCCACCATCGACACCATACCGGCCACCACTACCACCACAACCACAACTACCATCATTGCCGCCACCACCATTACCGCAACCATAAATACAATTGTCACCAATGCCACCACAACCATAACTGCCACCATCACCATTGCCGCACCCCTGCCACTACTATTAGCTTTGCAGCCCAACCACCACACCCCTTTATTGGCACCATTACCACAGTCACCATCACAATCATTGCCCTTGCCAACATTGTCATCGCCACTGCCCGCATTACCATGTCCATTTTTGTCATCATATACAATTATGTCACTTTTACACTGAAATTTACCAAATACTTTTACACTATTTTTCATACCACAACATTATTATAAATAAGTTTTATTAAGGGTTTAATTATTTTATTTTGCAATTGATTATTCTTAAAGCACCACTTAAAAAATAGTTTTAAGGGGAAAAAAAAAAAAACATGACAATCTCAAACTAGCCCTTAGTGGCGAAGAGAACGTCTTTTACATTATTTTCAACTATTTGTTTCTTTGTATATTAGAAATGATGGCATCTTGCACTGTAAATACGCAATAAGACTTACATATATATATTTGCAAATTGTACATCTGTGAATCCATTAGAGTGTAACAAATTCAACTGAAATGACTGCAGCAAAAAACAAATCTTGGTTATTTATTGTCATTTTTTTCTGTGGTAAATTGAAGAAAACCTTGGGTATATTTTCTGAAGTCTCCTGTTAGAGCAATCAATGACTTAAAAAAAGGGGATTTTAACGAAAAACTTATAGTATTGTTCACTTTAACGAAAATTCATATTTTTATACTAAAAAATCAAACATGGTACTATTCACTTTACCCTTTATTTTGTCCTTATCGTTAAAACTCAAAGTTTTCAAGCCATTTTCATTAGTTTCCTGAAGGGCAAAGTCAAGATATTTTCACATCTTGTCTTATATATTAAGGCACTAAAAAGCACCTGGAGGAGTATTAGGGTGAGACCAAACAGTCTTCCAAATTACTGGGATCAGGATTATATTCGTCATGGAGTTTTCTTCTTCTTGTTCTTCCCAGTTGCTGTTGTCCCGGTTGATATTATGCGTTTGTGTTGTAGTTTTTGGTGTTTTCCAGTACCCTACTGCCACAGAGGGACTGGTGAAGCTGCCATCAAACCAGACCTTTCCGGCGGTGATTGTGTTTGGCGATTCGATCATGGACACCGGCAACAACAACCATCTTAAGTCACTTGTTAAGTGCAATTTCTCTCCTTATGGACGAGATTTCCAGCAGCACAAGCCTACCGGCAGGTTTGGCAATGGCAAGGTGCCTTCTGACATCATAGGTATAACAAACCTCTCTCGCACACAAACATACATTTATCCATTTATCCATTTCATTTATCCTTTCCATTTCGTTATGTTTTCCCCTTCTGTTGAGTTGCTTTTCTTAACACTTGTATCTACATTTTCAAAATTTATTCGAAAAGAATTGGACAAAAATCCATGCTTGAGAATTGCAAATGAATAACAAAAATTCATATTTTATGTCTACATTATTTTTGGTTATGATCAGCGTCACAATTGGGAATCCAAGAGTATTTGCCGGCATATTTGGATCCAAACCTACGACCGCAAGATCTCCCCGCCGGAGTTGTCTTTGCTTCAGGTGGCACCGGATATGACCCAATGACACCCCAGATAGTGGTACGTTGTTATAACACGCGCGCACATACACATATGTATACATCAATGGAATAAATTGTTGTGCTCAATGATTATAATTTCTATAACCAATCCGTAATATTTTTCACAATGTTGATGATAAAATGCAGTCAGTTATATCAATGGATGATCAGTTGAAAATGTTCAAAGAGTATATCGTGAAGCTCAAAGGCGTTGTTGGAGAAGAGAGAACTCAGTTCATTCTATCCAACGCTCTAGTTCTGGTGGTTGCCGGCAGCGATGACATCGCCAACACTTATTTTACCATTCGCATAAGAAAAGCTCAATATAGTGTTCCTGCTTACACTGACCTCATGGTCAACTCTGCATCTAGTTTCGTCAAGGTAACATATGTAATAATTAATTAAAACTTGAGAAATTTGCACAAAATATTAACTGAATTTTTTTACTTGGAACTTTTTCAGTATATTCAAGTCTATTCATGTCATTTGATTCAACTAGGGTCCATATTGCTGATGAGTTTTAAAGAAAATCGAAGGAAAGTACAAAGAAAAATGTCGTACAACACCTATTTTGGCATATGATAGAATAATTAAACAATTTCAAGTACTCTAGCTAGTCGTGATCTATGGATTGAGAACCTCTCCAATACTCTAGAGCTCGTGACCGAGCAATTTAGAACTATCAATTTAAATTATGCGGTTCTTATTAGTTTATTTTAGAGTGCTACTAACTTCATCTCATTGTCCTATTTCCTACTCACCTTTTAATAAAATAATAATAACATGTTTAATTTTCTAGAAAAAGACTTTTCAACCCCTATTCTGTTTCTCTCTCCCCCTCTTGCTTCTCTCTTTGGTTTATCTCTTATCGCCTTCTATATCGACTGCTATGGCTTCTCCACCAACCGCCTACCGCCTCTCTCTCGTCCCATGTTTACCATTTTAGTACATAAGTTATCTCTCTTTGTCCCTAATAAACGCCATGCACATGATGGCACTTTTTAGGCATCATAGAATTGTTTTTTATGGCATTTGACCAACGCCGTAAATCTCTCTCTCTTTGAATTTAGCGTTCATCCCATCTCACTCTCTTCGAATCTGGAATTTTTCTTTGGATTCATTCGCACCTGCCCTCATAAATTCCTGCTATCTTCTGCAAAGGAACTGAAATGTAGATGAATTGAAATTTTGCACTCTCTAAATTGAAATTCCTTTATTCTATGAATTTGAAATCCTAACTATGGTGGCCATTTTTTCCCCAAAATCAATTCAAATAAGCTTGAATTTACCTGATTAGGGTTTGATTACTCTGCATATTATTCTATGCAAATGATATTGTCTAATATTGGAGTACAATCACGGTGATTGCAAATTTTGGATTTGTTTGATTAGATTAGGTCCCATCCAATTTTCAAGGCATCTCATTGTAGTGCATTCGGAATTTTTCAGAAATTTTTGGAATTTGGATATAGAAAATTTTTACAAAAATTTTGTTTTATTGGGTTAAGTTCCATCCAATCATCTATTTTGTCCTCTTGGTTGTGAAAACGGAACAATGGAACTGTAGTGAAGGTTATTTTAGGAATTATGGTGGGTGGAAAAATAGGATTTCAAAATTTTAAACTTTTATAGTGGGTGAGATTATAACGTGGGTGGGGAAATAAGACAATGGGATGGGTCTATCAACACTCTTATTTTATTGGCTTATCTCACACACAATCTCTCTTCAACATTCAATTTGAACGCTCCAAATTGCCTAATTCGTGGGCTCTGGAATGTGATGATATATGACGAGAATGTTCTTAAAAATAAGGCTGCCGTGTTAATTTCGGTGCCAAGTTGCAAGACAACAGGGAGTTTGGGTGATTAATTGTAAATTTTTCTATTTCAATTTTCCCTTGATAATAATTGACCCACTGGATTAACAAGTAAATAATCCCTTATTTACTAATGATATGGTAATTAATTGGTAGGAATTGTATAAACTTGGGGCGAGAAGGATTGGCGTGTTCAGTGCACCACCAATAGGATGTGTGCCTTCACAAAGAACTTTGGGTGGAGGAATTCTGAGAATGTGTGCAGAAGAATACAACGACGCGGCAAAGTTATTCAACATCAAACTGTCCAGCTCACTCAACACCTTGAGCTCCGCCCTGCCCCACAGTAAAATCGTCTATGTGGATATTTACAATCCACTGCTCGATATAATTCTCAACCCAGCCAAAAGTGGTAATTATTCTAACTAAATAATATGCATTAGTTGAGATTAGTTTAATATTTTGCATTGGTTAATGATTTTTGGGTTAATGAATCTTAGGGTTTAAAGTTGTGGAGAAAGGTTGCTGTGGAACGGGGAACATAGAGGTAGCAGTGTTGTGCAACAAGTTCGATTCTACGTGTGAAAATCCATCCGATTATGTGTTTTGGGACAGTTATCATCCTACGGAACGAACCTACAATATAATCGTTCCTTCACTTCTTCAGAGATACATGAAAGACTTCTTTTTTTAATTAATTAATATGCTTATTAAAATCAGCATATATATAATGATATGATATTATGAATTGATTGTTTATGCACGTGGCTAATCCTCAATTCTCAAGTCAGATCATGTAATCAGCTTTCATATTTTTGGAAAAAAAAGTAATAATAAACATTATATTAATTTACTTCCCCCAGCTTTTTGTCTCTCAGTTTTGGTGTCCGCTCAAGAAAGTACTCTCGCTCTATAAAGGTAATTAAATTCAAGTAGTATTTTTAAATATCCAGTTGATTCCAAGTTATCCTTAATTAAGGAATTAAGTATGGTTGTCTTTGATTTAGTGTTTAGCAAAAAAGTAGGTCATGGTTGAATTTAGAGTGCAAAATGGCTTCTGATGAAAATGGTACTACAACTCATTAGTATTAAAATCTTGTTGTATCATGCAAGAAATCCAATAATTTTGAATTGAATAGTTTAGCACGAATGATATTTCGTTATCACGAGCCCATGCTCGTTTTAAGAACAAATACAACACGTTGCATGAGAAAACGTACTATATACACGATCGATGCCAAGTTTTAGAGAGATTTTTTCATTGTAATCGGAACACAGAGTAGTACATCATATGTCATTATATAAATAGTGAGATATGTGTGTCAAAAAGTTAATAACTTAAAAAATAAAATTTTTCACCATTTATATAAAAACATGTAGTGTATCACCTGTGTTCCGATTACAATAAAAAATTTCTCCAAGTTTTAGATGACCACTTGGCAGGCAAGCTACCACGTATATAGATATGTATGTATATATTATAATTTTGTAATAAATTCCTGGGTTGAGAATTTACCCAGAGGGCCAGAGACGCAGTTGAGAGATTAGATGCATGCATTATTACGACGCAGTTAAGTACGATGTGACTTGGAGGACAATCAATTATTTCTTAACAATCAAGTGCCACAAAAAACAAATAGCTAGTAAAGATCGATGAATTACGAGTTCGCAAGTAGTCGCTCTTCACAACGAAGCTGGAGGAATGCATGCACCAGTAGATACTCTTATTCTTCTGATACGGCCCCAATTCTATTTTATGAATTCAAGGGATATCGGAAAACCAACACAAGTATGTAGAAGGAGATCTCACATCTCCCCAACTGCTTGCATTTATCCATAATTCTATATTCAAATTATTTCAACCAATTATTAGTTATTGCACAAGACTAGCTCTACCTATATAACGCAGACGAAGCTACATAAGGCCCAGGGGAGGTATCCGCCTCCACTCAGTTTTTTGGGTGAGAGTAAAAAAATGTAATATGACAATTAAAAGTTTGAGTTTGGTTCCAAACATTCCATGTTTCCTAATCTAAACCAAACTCAATTGAAAGAGAAAGGGGGGGGGGGGATGGTTTCATACGTACATGGAATTCAAATGATCAAGTATCATAAGATTCAACTGATCAAGTATCATAATGACACAACAATTTTACTCCGCAATGTATTTATATGAATTTACTGAGGGCATTACAATTTAGAATTTAGCTTTCTAATTTAGAGATTTTTTATTGTACCTTGTTCTCAACAAGCTCAAACCCATTATTTTACTTGGTTGTGCTAGGATGCCCTCATTTAAAAAAATCTCTAGCTCTGTCCCTGTTAATATATATCTTGCACCATGTAGTACATGTTGATGTGAAGGATTTGATGAAATTGTTTGTGAAATGAATCGTACTCTATGTTTAACTCTAATTCAAAATCTAGAATCCACCATGAGTTGAGAAAACGGTGGATCATGAGTCTTGCTCGTGACTCTAATTCGGCCAAAAATGCTCACATGTCAGCACACATCATTAAGTCTTGCTCATGACACTATTCTCTTTGAAACGGTGGATCATGATCTTAATTAATAGAGTCTAAATTTGCAATGTTAATCAAGTTGCTCTTTAGTTCTTTCAGCCACCTATTCTACGTCATGAACTTCTTATGGTTAGATTAGGCGCTTAAGTAGAACATTAAAAACCTCTAAATCTGACCCCTGATTTGATGTCATGAAAGTTTCTTGTAGTTTTGCACTACTAGTAACTGTGCTCTTTGAGCTAATTAGCCTCTCCTTTCGCCCTTCTCGTTTTATGTTATGGGCAGAGACTCCAAAAACAGTAAAAGATTAGTGAACAATAATATTTATTAGGGTTTTCACATTTGACCGGTGAGATCTCATTGATTCATTTAGCCCTCGTGTCTTAGATATTGATGTTTGGTAGATGAGAAAATTTATATGCCATGTGCGACCTGTCATCAAATAAAAAAGATTTAACAATTAATTGACAAATAGAGAAAAAGGGATTCTCGTTCTTGTTCTAATTCATTCTATGATTATATATGTTGTATTCCTAAAGTTTTACTAATGTTGCGATGCTGTCTCATTTTTCCGGGAAAATTATGTCTCATTTTTCCAGGAAAATTTATACCAAAAGTAAAATTTTAATCATTATTGTTATTAGCACTTCAAAAATCTCATTCTATAATACAAAGTTTCTATATTAGGAAAGAAAAATACACTTGTGAGGAGTATAAAATGAGATTTTTGAAGTGTCAATAACACTTACCTTTTAAAATTGTATTTAGTGATGAAATTGGGTTTTATGGTAATGTTGCGATGCTGTCTCATTTTTCCGGGAAGATTATGTCTCATTTTTCTAGGAAAATTTATACCAAAAGTAAAATTTTAATCATTATTATTATTAGCACTTCAAAAATCTTATTCTATACTCCAAAGTTTCTATATTAGGAAGGAAAAATACACTTGTAAGAGGTGTAGAATGAGATATTTATTGATGAAATTAGGATTCCACCATAAAACTAATTGACAATATGAGAAGTAGCCCAAGACGATATAAGCACATAGCAAACCTTGCAAGGGCGGATTTTCAAGCCTACATGTGGACAACAACTCATTTTTCCAGGAAAATTTATACCAAAAATAAAATTTTAATCATTATTGTTATTAGCACTCCAAAAATCTCATTCTACACTCCAAAGTTTCTATATTATGAAAGAAAAATACACTTGTGAGAAGTGTAGAATGAGATATTTAGTGATGAAATTGGGATTCCATCATAAAACCAATTGACAATATGGGGAGTAACCCAAGACCATATAAGCACATAGTAAACCTTGCAGGGGTGGATTTTCAAGCCTACACGTGGACAACAACTGGATGACGTGGAGCGCGTGTGGCCGTTTGAATTCACACGAGAACAACTCGCTCTGATACCATGATGAAATTGGAATTCCACCATAAAACCAATTAGTAATATATGGAGTAACTCAATACTATTTAAGCACATAACAAACATTGTCCCTCATCGACGTAGAACAACTCTCAACATTTAGTAGTTACGTACGCTACCACCTACTATATGCATTATTGCATTTGCATTAAACAAGGCATGTCCCGTGTCTGACGATCGATCTAAATGACAGTAACAAATATAAATGCACTCGCAACCAATCAGGGCCCATAAGTTGGCTCCCTCTCTTCATCCTTTTCCGTTGTCTGGTTTAGTTTAGTCAACTAGCTAGCCCAGCCACTTAGGGAAGAACCAAACAGAGAAATTTGCAGTCGTATTCAGTGATGACCACATTATTATTGAAATTTTTTCTGTTTGTTTGTTGTGGTCTGGTGATTTTGGGAAACCAAGCGGTTGGAGGTGATGTCGTTAAGCTGCCGTCCAATGCAACGATTCCCGCTGTGTTTATGTTTGGCGATTCCATCGTCGATACAGGGAACAATAACGTCAACCTGAAGACGCCAGCTCGGTGCAATTTCCCTCCGTACGGCAGGGAGTTCGAAGGAGGAATATCTACTGGGAGATATTCCAATGGAAAGGTTCCCTCTGACCTCATAGGTTGTGCTTCTGCTTGTGCTTTTGCTGTGTTTGACTCTCACTCTCTCACTCTCACGATACATGATACTAATTAATACTACAATTAGGTTTTCTTAGTGAATAAATTAAGCTTGATTTTTTTTTTCTTTTTTCGGAAAGCATAACACTTGATATGCAGTACTAGTGTTTGACTTATTTATTGCATATGTCGGTTAGTTCAACCAATCAAGAAAGCGTGTCCGCATTTAAATTCAATATTAATTAAAGTCGTTTCAATATTGTTTATAAAATATTTAAGTAAATGGAATTGCAAATCAATCAACATTGTCGTAGATATTATTTAGAATGAATTCCACGTCAGAAAATAAGAGACATTACTTGTGCTTATAAGGGTGTTTGAGTTATTTTTTATATTGTCAATTGTTTTATCGTGGAATCTTAACCTCCTTTATGGTATCAAAGTATGTTGTCCCACATGTGAAGCTAAACGGACACATACGCCCTCTGTCCTCTGATTTGTGTTGTCTTCGTGTTAGGCTTATAAATTTGTCACACGTGAGAAGTTGTGTTGAGAATGAATCACATTGAGCAAATAAGGGATCTTTGCATAGAGTCTTTGATTCTAGACAGCAGATTGCCTCGCCCTCCTAGTGTTTCTTTCTCTGACTAATTCAAAGTTTGTGATTGTTTATGGAATGGTTAAGAGTGTTTTTTATATTATTGACAAAAAAGAGTAAGACTGATAAAATTAAAAGTGATTATGGGTCATAAAAGCACTTGCTAGACGTTTCTTTATATGCAGCTTACAAGTGGCTTTATATACGCCCAATGAACGCCCTCATAAAACGCAGCCCTTGTCCATGTAACCTTAGAAGTTAGAACTCGTATGACCGTCCAAGTGCAAATTGCAAGTTGGTTAACTTAACGACAATGTGAAACCAATGATTTGAAATTTACAAAATGGGCCTTTAGTTTTGTGAGTGTTGTGACAACTGGCAGTACAGTTTCTTCAATCTTGATCGTAATGCAAGTTAATTAACTAAACCTTCATTTGATTTGGTTTTATGCGTTGTTTATTTCAGTGGAAAAGTTAGGTATTAAAGAGCTCCTGCCAGCCTACTTGGATCCAAACCTACAGCCCAATGATCTGCTTACAGGTGTCAGCTTTGCCGTTGGTGCCACCGGATATGATCCTATGACAGCTCAGATTGTGGTATCACGACGTGCATATTTCTTGATAATATTAAGGAGGTTAAATTTGTAAATAAAATTTGAAAAATAATACATATGAAAGTTGTTG